GTGGTGATGTTGATATTGATGATGGTGGTGATGCTGATATTGATGATGGTGCAGTGATGATGGTGGTGATGTTGATATTGATGATGGTGGTGATGTTGATGGTGATGATGGTGGTGGTGTTGATGGTGGTGATGTTGATGGTGGTGATGTTGATGGTGATGATTGTGGTGGTGTTGATGGGGGCGGTGATGATTGTTGTGGTGTTGATGGGGGTGATGTTGATGATGGGGGTGATGTTGATGATGGTGATGTTGATATTGACGATGGTGGTGATGTTGATGGTGATGATGGTGGTGATGTTGATGGTGGCGGTGATGATTGTGGTGGTGTTGATGGGGGTGATGTTGATGATGGTGGTGATGTTGATGTTGATGATGGTGTCGATGGGGGTGGTGATGATGGTAATATTGATGTTTATGGTAATGATGGTGGTGGTGCTTGTAGTGGTGTTGGTGATAATGGCAATATTGGTGATGGTGATGATGATAGTGGTAAAGTCGATGATGATAATGGTTATGATGGTGGTGCTTTTGGTGGTGGTAATACTGATGATATTGATAGTGTTAGTGGTATTGGTGAATGGAATCAGTACACAATTTCTGCATGTTAAAGTCATGTTATTGTCGATATTCTGCAGGAGAAGGAGGTCCGTATTGTCCGTCAATACCAGTATATGGACTGGCCTGATATTGGTTTACCAGAGTCTGGTGTGGGTGTTATTGATCTAATAGGACAAATTGAAAAGTGGCAACAACAAAGTTGTAATTCAATGATAACTGTACACTGCAGGTACGATACCTTTTTTGCTTGTATATACTTTTTTCAAAAATATTTCGCATTCTACGCCATTCTTGGATTTTCTGTTACTTAAGATAAGAGGCAGACCAGGCTGTCATTGTTTTCCTCCAACCGTCCCATCCATCTATCCTTCTGTCCACATACCCACCAACCTGTTCGTTTCCCCTTTCCTTAATCGCTCCCTTCTTCATGGACGCACGCGTTCTACTTTCTTGCTCTCATCAAACATCCTGATTTTTGTATCACTTGTAGGGATGGGTCTGTGCCTTACCATTAACTTGATCCTATTCTTCCCCATTGCCCTTTTTAGTGCAAAACTAGAAACCTTTGAACGCAAACATCATTGCTCGGTGTATTCCTCACTTCGTCAACCTATTCACTTGACATGAACTGTGTACAGATTCGTAAGATCTAGTTATGTTTTAATTCTGCAGTGGTGGTGTAGGCCGAACTGGAGTGTTTTGTGCTGTTAGTATTCTGATTGAACGAGTCAAGGCTGAAGGAATAATAGATGTGTTCCAGACTGTACAGTCTCTTAGACTGCAAAGACCTGCCATGGTTCAGACAATAGTAAGTTTGTTTTACCTCGATAACATGTTTTATCTTATTAATATTAGCTTCTTTTTTTCATTTCTTTTTCTCATTCTCTCCATCTTCTTTGCTCTTTTTTCTTGCTTGTGCACCTAGCAACGTTAAGCTCCAAGGTTGTATGGTGGTGGTGGTGTGGCTATATGATACTCGAAATCTTAGCGGCGATGTATAATATGCTGTGCGCATTCCTTTTTCTGTGTGGGACTTGCCTTTGGGGGGAGGGGAGGAATGGATGGAGAGAGGTTATTTTCTCCAACTTGGCGGTCACTTTACTTTCTTTTAATATAATATTTTCAAACTTAAAAACTGTTTTACTAAAAAAAGATGCGAATGTACTCTCGCTAAAAGCATTCTAAATATTTTTTCCCAATATCTCTCGCACAGGAACAGTATGAATTTTCTTACTCAACTCTTCAAGAGTATTTAGACTCCTTTGACTTGTACGCCAACTTCCAGTAACTGCACAGCGGTCAACGCATGCGCCAGAGAAAAGAAACAGTAAATACTGCTGACCTTGAATATTTTCAAAGGTAATAAGTATTAAGAAGAAATTCGATTCAAACATGCTTTATCTTTTGTTAATTAAGAAATTTTATAAATATTTTTTTAGGGAAGTATTTTATAAGTGTTTTATAGGCGCTATTTAAGCGTTGTTTTGATTAGAAATTCCCCTGATTTAGTAATGATGTCCCCAAACAAATACACAGCGTCTCTATTTTGAAAAAGCTCATCGATTACCGTGAGAAATTCAAACAATTTGGCGACAAGGTCTCTTATCCTTTGTCTTATCTTGAAGCCACCAAAGGATTATTTCTTTAAAACATTTTTAAGGGATCAATTTAGAATGACGTTTAGACATAGAGGGCTTGAATATTTAAGCTGAGAAGAAATTCAAAAATTAAACTTTTTAAAAATACCAGAATTAATTTCAAATGTAAGCAAGCAAAAGTGGGGATTTTTCTTCTTAAACGGGCGCCATGGTTCTCGTTAGAAGAGGATACGACTGATAAAGGGGTTAATGAAAGCTGAAAGCTAACAGAAGGTACCTTGGCTGGCCTTATCACTTCCATTGACATTAACACCTATCTTAAGCTCGTGTCAAGAAAATAATTGCAATTTTTTTTTTGACTGCCTGTTTTTTGCTTAGTCAAATTAATGGTAGAATTTTTGTGTCAAAGCATTGCTTCAAAGCGAAAATTTGAAAGCAAAGGAAATTGAAAGATAAGAAACAAAAATAAATACTCCTACGTTGATCAACTTGTCATTTTGCACGTTTAAATCATTTGTTCTATTTCTGCTTTTTGGGGAAAAGAAATTGCGACTTTTATCCTTCATTGACAATGTCACATTCTTATTACTTTTTTATATTTTTCTGGTTTATTTTATTATATTTTTTATTTATTTTCATTTTCTTTTATTCCTTTTCATTCCTTTAATTTCTTCTCTCTTTCTCATTAGTAATTACTGGTTTACAGTCTAGTTAAAAAGGTTTATTTCTATTCCATATCTTTATCTTTTTATTTATTTTCTCCATTATTTTCTCTTTTCTTCCCTTTCCCTCTCTCCCTTCTTTATTGTTTTCTTTTCTCTCTTTTCAAAAAAACTCAGTTTTCGTACCCCTTTTTCTTTTTTCTGCTATTTCGTTTCTTTTTTCTGCTATTTCGTTTCTTTTCCTTTCATTCCTTTTATCAATTGTTTTATTCCTTTTAATCTTATTTTCGGTTTAATCTTTTTCCCGGAAGGAAAAACTTTTTTTTTTTGGCAAATCTCTTATTGTTTTCGTAAAATCCTAAAGATCTTTCCTTACAAACAGCAAAATATTAAAGAGTGCACGGACATCAAAGCGTCTCCAACTAAACAAATACCAAATACTACTTTAACGTGACGCAATTCCTCAACTGCTTTGTGCTCTCCGCCTTGAGCACTGAATAGGAAGAGACCACAACTGAGAATATAAAATAATGCAATGAAAACTACCGCGAAGTCCAATAGGATGTTAATATGTCATATAAAGGAACCTGAGTAGGAGGCAGAAAGAAGTTCGACACGAGGTTTAATCAATCATTCCATCGCGTCACAGTCAGTTTTATGCTCGATGCTTATCAATCGGTAGACTAAGCAACTTTTAGCGTCTCTCTCTTAGAGGGGGGTTGAGAGATTTCATTCCAGACGCAAGTGGTGTTTGTCTGCTCGCTTAAACTGTTTTTCTTCCAAGATTCAATCTTGGTTTACGAAGTATCGCTTTGAATGAATTAACCAAATACCCCTTTTTATTCACGTAGTTTCACTGGAAAAGCACCTTCTAGAATCGTAGTGTTTCGAAATTGCCCGAGGTAAAGTTCAACAGTGAAGACCAGGAGATCTAAAAATCCTAAATAAATGTTGCTAAACCGGCTCATTAGCTAAGGGGCATCTTATACTATTCTATAGTATGTTTAATTAACTGTAGAGAAAACATTATTCGGGGTTTACGGCGTTGTTGTTAGTGTCTCTATGGTCTGTTATGTTATATTATATTATTGTTCTGTTATAGCATTACTTTTGCTATCACAATGTGCTGTCATTAACAGGTTATTACCGTGTTCTCTTTCGCCTTCAGCTAGAAAACATCACATTCACTCCAAGTAATCAGAACTACAAGAACTCGTTGCTATATATGAGTAGGATTTCAGTACAAAACAGCTAAAGCAATCAATTGTAACTCAATTAACTCATTTACTATGTGATCACGCTTTCCTAACGAATTGAAAAATAATCTTGATGAACAAACAGACCCTTGAATTGAAATGGGAAAACTTTACAATGTTTGATGACCGAGTTTCTTTGAGTTTTTAGAACGTTTTCAAATTCTTTTCAAATCGACTGGCGCCTCTGTGTCGATAGCACCTCTACAAATAATGAGAGGGTCAAAAAAAAAAACTCGAGGGGTGTCACTCTCATATGGGAGTGGAGCGTCCAAGAGGTAATCAAAAAGAATTATGAATGGCAATATATTTTCCCAGACATGACCAAGTACTAGAGGTTTTGATAACGCTCGTTTGGCTTAGTGTGTGTCTGGCAGTTGAGAGTAGAGTAACTTTACACCAGCAAAGTAGCGCCTGAATGAAATTCAAGGGGCGTTCTTATTTCTGGAGACTAATCTCTATTACTAATTGTATAGCTGTATATGACAAGAGGGCCTATGTACTACTTTATAATAATGATTAGACTTTATTTACCGCTAGTAATAAAGCGGTTACCCGCTAGTTTACACAGTAATGGCTCTCTACTTTATCACCAGCATAGGTGAAATTAGTGTTGCATAGAGAGCGAGTGATTTACTAATAACGGAGGTTTTTAATTGCCCCACGCCGCCGGACATTAAAGGTACAAGAGCTAGGGGGCTGGTTAGAAGTGTATTTATGACCTAATACATTACTTTCAATATTCTACACGACTTAATAGTCGAATGATTAAAAAAATCGATTTGAGTGTTGTATTGAGTGTTGCATTTTTTTTCCTTTTTACGTCTTCAAGGTTTGTACTTCCAATATGTAAATTATGGTGACGTCAACTAGGGCTTTTTGTTACACAAAGCAAAATTTAACTGGTTTACACAAACAGTATTTAAAAATCATCTTTTAGATTTAACCCATATGCATTAAAATTATTGCAATTGTGTTTTCTAGTTACAACAAATAAACTCAAATGACATTAACATCTTTAGCATACTGGAAGCATATACCTTTATAATTTAAGGCACGATTACACGGAGCGATTTTCTATGCAACTTGTCCCGCAATGCAGCGTTACGACACAAGTGCAATAGTGTTTACACGGTGCAACGGAGACGCAATCGTAGCCAAAAGTAGAAACGAGTTCTACTTTTCGCAACGATTGCTGTATCTTCTCGCATCATTTTTCAAATTGATCTCTAGGTTACACACTGAAATGTTCCATGCAACGCCGTTGCAAGACAAGTCGCAGAGAAATTGCTCCGTATAAATCGCGCCTTTAAAGACGTAACACTCAAATGAAAAAAAACCAACATTATTCCATCCCTAACAGCATAAATAGAGAAGAGATTTCTAGTTCAATAGTAAGGCTCTATCAAAAGCCTTTTTGCATTGCATTTTCCAAACCTTTTATTTGGGTTCTCCCGCGTCCTATAATAAGATGTTTTGGACTGATGCTAAGAGGCTTTTACTGGTAAACCAAATCTGACAATGCAATGCTCAAAACAACATCAGGATTAAGTGCAAGTCTTGCCTCAGGGGAAGATAATAACTGAAGCCTAATGAAATATATAAGCTGCTTGTCTTTCATCAAGCACTAGATTTATGAAGTTCTTTTTTATTAGTAGACTGCAGCAGTAACCGATATTAACCTGATTATTTCAAATTTGCAGAGCCCTGGGAAAAACATAGTGAACTACATAAAGCTATAATGAAAGAAAAATAATTGATGGTATTCAGAGAAGTTGACACATGACGCTAATAAGGCTGTGGCCCTCTATGTTCAATGTCTCTGAATGAGAGGTGATCATGCAAGCCATCTGATCGTATGCCATCTGGCAGAGTTTCATAGTACTTTTGCATATTTTGAATTAGTTTTGATGACATGACATTTTCTGATAAAATCTTTTAAACGAACCATTTAAAAAGTCTAATTTTGTTGCCGTTGTTGTTGATGTTTTTCGTTTAAAAAGATCATGTTTCCGTTTGGAAAGTGATTGGGAAAAAATTAATCTCGTAAGGAAGCGAGTGATAAATGTTATCAGTGAATGTCGGCAATTCCTCTTGTGCTAATGAGACGAGACCGCATTTTCTTACAAATTCTTAGCAGTGTGTACAAAAAGATCTCCAACCTAGATATTGTAGTGTAACTAGAACTTATTTCTCTTGTGCTCATTACCTTAAACTCTAGAACCTTAGATAAAGATGTGAAAGGCAAAATTTGAAAGAAGGTGAAAATCTGACGCAAATTTTTTTTTACACTATTCGGCTCATTTTCATTCCTCCCATCTCATCCTAAAGCTATGATTTTCCAATTCAATTGGAGGGTTTGTTTTCAAATATTAGCCTTTGATTTATAGCTATCATATTACTTCACCTAAGGCTATAATTTGAACATCTTTTTCATTAGTTCTTGCTGGGGTGTCCTGTTTTAGTGGCTACAGCCTTACATTTAAGTTACAAATATAATATATCAAAAGTCAGGCCATATGAAATCTAGATTGACTGGTTCAGGGCTGTTGACTAGGACTTAATTTAAAATGACTATCGTGTTGATGCAGGGAAATCTATAACATCCAGGTTTTAATGATTGAATAACTAGCGCAATCATGTGGTATTAAATTTTCGTTTTCAGAGGAAACCTTAGGTTTTCAAGTTGTCGAAAAGTCAGTGTTGGTCAAAACGCAAATGTCTTTTGTATCAATGTTGATTATTCAGACAACAGAGGAGGTGGTTTTGAGGTTATTTTTGGATGGATATTTCTTTTTTTCTATTTATGCAATCTGTTCCAGTCACAAGAAAATTTTGTGTTCCAACTTTTTTAGCTAATACCAACAAAAGTGCTCGTCCGTTTTTAACAAGGTTTCTGTATTATGAGGGTTGATTACAGTGTAAGTGCAATCCACTGCAACTAAAAAAGTGACCGTATTTACAGGGTGTCCGTATTAAGCAGGTTAAAATTCGGTCCACTTTGAAAATAAAAAGCGTCGGCCTGTATTGACAAGTGACCATATTCAACAGGACAAAAAGTGCCCGTATTTGCAAGATGTTCGTCAAAATTCAGTCCACTTTGACAAAAACAAGTGTCCTTATTTACAGGGTGCCTATATTAAGCAGGCTTATATAAGAGTACTAGACGTCACAAGGACAAAAAGTACCCGTATTACAAAAGGTGGTCGTATTAAGCAAGTCAAAATTCAATCCACTGTGAAAAAAAACAAGTGTCCATATTGACAGGGTGCCTCTATTAAGCAGGCTTATCTAAGAGTACTGGATGTCACTAGGACAAAAAGTGCCCGTATTACGACAAAGGTGGTCGTGTTAAGCAAGTCAAAATTCAGTCCACTGTGACAAAAACAAGTGTCCTTATTTACAGGGTCCCTCTATTAAGCAGGATTATATAAGAGTACTGGATTTCTCTAGAACAAATTTTCCGTATTAGAAAGGTGGTCGTATTGAAGGAGCTGAAAGGCGGTCAACTTAAAAAATGTGTCCGTATTAACAGCGTGTCCGTATTAACCAGGTTAATCAAGGATTTCACTAGGACAAATTTTCCGTATTGGCAGGTGGTCTGTAAGCTGGTCTCGGCCGTTTTTTTTCTGTGGTTTCTAATGATTTGAGAAAATCTATGCATTTACATTAACCTATTTGTTTTCTTACAACCTCTGTTTTAACAGTCAACACTGTTATTCATTGGCCTATTTTTATACATCGCTTTGATAATTCTTCCCAACCCAAACCCCACCAGTTAAACAGACCGTCGGGGGGAAAAATTAGTAATCCGATTTATTTAAAAGTAGGAAACAGCAAGCAGCGTCTGAGAGGGACGTTCCAGGAATTGCTTTTCTTCCTCATGGCCCTGCCCGCAGTTGTTCCTTCCTTCCGTCTCTCTCAAGCTAACCTTGGTTCCTTTATTAAAAATCTCTCTGGCTGAACTTTAAATCCAGCGTCTAGGCACGTCTTTATGTACTCAAATAGCTCACCATTGTCTATCTTTTTTGCTGGTTGTCGACCAACTGCTTGTCAGCAGGTATAAGCATTTCAGGGATTTTTTAAGCGGTACTTCAGGGTCCAGTGCCGGCCATTTATTCTCACAAAACCTCAAAGGACATATGCAGGTATTAATCTACTTAATAATAAAAACGTCGTCTTTGGTACTTGGTATGTTGACTTAATGTCACCCCACTGAAGCCATGAGTATGTTTACGTTTTGGTTATTAATTGCCGAGCAAATCTGTCAAAGGTAGAAGCCGAAGCACGTTTCCTTGCTGAAAACCTCTTGTTAGACGCTTGAATTATCGTGTTAAGAATCCCCAAGTGATGGGACTTACAGCCCTTCGACTTTATTTTATTTCGTCTGGTCTTTCAAGTTTCTCAATGAATGTTAAAGCCTCTTTAGCTTACACTCGCGATGTCTATAAAAAAAGACGACTTATTTGGGGAGAAAAAAAACGACTTATTTTGGGAAGCTATTTGAATCAGTCTCGCAAATCGTTAAAAAAAAAAACAGTTTTGAAAATAAAATTCAAGATTTTTTTATTTCAAAATTTTATTGAATATTCATACATAATCAAATCAAACTTATATTCTCCGAACATCCTCGTGTTAAACATGAAAAACAGTACTAGAATATATTTTTTTAGTCTGCAGAAATTCATCTCTGTCCTTTTTTATTTGTTTCTTTCTGTTTTCTTTCGTTTCTTTTAATAATAATAGTAAGCTTTATTTATCAACCTTATATATAAATATATAATTTTTTTTCTATTCTGTCAGTCCTTTCTTTCTGTCTTCCCTTGCACCCTATCTCTTTTTGCTTCCTCCTTTCTCTCTCTTTACTTAATAATTTCCTTGTTCAGTATCAGTTCCTTTTTCCTATCTTTCATAATTTGTCTTTCTTTGAAGTCGTTCTTAGATTTATCTTTTTTATCTTTAATTCCCGTTCCCCCTTTTTTCCCTGTAAATTAGTTTTCAAAATAATGGCTTCTTTCTACATCTCTAAACTCCCAAATCAAATTAAAAAGAGTAGCATACTCCATTTAATATTATACCGCTGTTTGTTCCCCAGCCAAATTCCCCATAATTAAAGATCCTATTTACTGATTAGCACCTTTTTTTGAACTTGAACACTTCAAATGTAAATCCTTTCCTCCAAACACAGTCGCCGACATTTTCGATGGTTAACTTGCGTGAGCCTTTACAACACGCGAGCCAAAGCCCTCGTCATGTAGGAGCCACCGTCCTTCCATATTCGTAGACGAGTGGAATATAGCATTTCCACAGATACTCTGGTATCATCATTTATCAAAAATTATACGGTTGGTCTACGCTAAACAATGAAAAATCAAATCTCGGGCCATAATGAAGTCCTCGATAAAGATTTAACAAAGTTAAATGACAAGTTTTGTTGTAATAATCCGATAAGATGGCCAGGATTAAACTAGTACTGATATTTTTATACCTTTAATACTAGCTGATTAGATTTATCCTCTAAACTACTTTCTCCTATCCGCTGTCAAGCAAATCTTTACTCAAATGATATATAAAACGTAGCTATTTTGGTACCTGGGAATTAGAATAAAAATGCTCGCGCTGATCTTGATTGAGATCATAATTTTGACATGATGTATTCAGTTCCGTGTCTGAGCTTATCTTAAAAACTGAACCTGTTTTTAAACAAGGGATTGGAGGTTTTTTAAATCGAAATAAAACAAAGGTCTTGAATGTTGAGATGTTTTTAATCCTTGGAATTTTGTCGAAACCTCAAACTTTGAAACTAATATTTTGTCAAACCTCTTGGCTGATCAAAGTCAGGGCATGACTACCTCACAGATCGAATAGGAATTTAGCTAGGAGTAGTTAGGTTTTACGGAGGGAAAATTGGAGAAAACCTCGAATCAGCTATGAATGAGGCAGAGACCTTTTACATAAGAGAACTTTTACATAAAGTATGATTGATCCTAGTGCAAAAGACTGAGAAGTCTTTTACMCCCTCCCAGGGGACATCAAACTCAACGGATACAACCCTAATAAAAAAGGTTATCCTACTGTACTGTACTTTACTGTACTGTAATATGAACGTGATCTAAAAGATTTCCGCGATACTCTAGGTATAGGCAGTATTCACTATTCATAGACAGCCTTTTTGACTAAACGTGTGTACACAATACTGTGCCGCCTAACAAAACTTCACCTACATCACTACATGAGATGTGTCAATCTAAGGATTTACTCTGTAACATAAGAGTTATTTATACATCACATTTCTGTGTTTAGATTTAAACTGGATGCATTATTCGCGAAAAAAGAAAAATCCCACGAAAACAGTTTGTGTGGAAAAAGAAGTTGATARGATCTAGATTTTATGCAGTGGCTTTAACCATAATATTTTTGTGTTTAGATTTAAACTAGATGAATTATTCGCGGGAAAAAATATATTCTTGAACGAAAAAAAAAATTCATCAGCGAATTCATATTTCATTATTTTATGCTAAAACCTTCAACTCAACTTAACGACACAAGTTAACTCGCACGTTTCATTTATGTCTTAATATAATATTTTTTTWAAAAAAACGGCCTGTGAAGTAGAACTTCTAATTTATTTAGAAATCCAAAACTACGAAGTTTGAAAAGCGTGACTAGCCTTCTGATGATGTAATTTCGACAAAGTGCGACGACATTGAAACTATATGACGCCATTCTCTGGATTGTCGGCATTTGTGTTGTATTATTTATCACAAGCTTAGCTATGTCGTGTCATTTAATTCAGGAAATAGTTTTCTCGAGGGTGGAAGAAACTTTATACTGTTTGCGACTTTTTTGTACGAAATACGATGTAAAACGTCTTTGTGATTTGATTTAGACATTACGTCCAAGAAACGTGAAGTACCTTCCGCAAAAACCTGTGATACCGCACTCTGATCTAATATGTAACAAGATCTATTTATATAGGTGTTTTTCAAAAACCACTTACGAGGTTTTCTCCCCACCAAATTTCCCGCCTATACGTCTCATGTTTGTATGTTTTGACACGGTCTTTACTGGTTTTTACATGAAAAATATTATTCCTCGATTAGGATTTCTAATTCGGTCGAACCCTAAGGCATACATCGAGTCAGTTCTCAACCCCTGACTAGAGGTTTATCTACAAAACTGAGCTCGTAATTTAAGATAAAAGTCATCATTTTGAATTTTCAGTCCGTGTTCGTTGAATTGTTTTAGCGTTCGGCATTGTAAAGCCGTACTCTCAAACATCTGGGAGAGATTTCCTTGAGTGGAAGAGGAGTCATCGCAGTGTTTTTTCCGTCACCCATTGTAACTAAGTGTGCTAGCCGGTTTCTGTGATATTTACGCATTTAACTTTGAGTTTACATAGCATAAAACTTTGTTGAAACGACCTTTGTGAGTTTTCTTTAATTTTTTCTTTGATTTTTTTTAACACGACACTGGTTGTGTCCTTGTTCAAACCAACGTCTCAATAGGATTTTTCGTATAGAATCGCCGGTATGGGATTTTACTTTCAATATGGCTTTTTTAGAGCATGTTGTCTGTCAATTAGGATATTTGAATAGGTGTTTAGCAGGAATTATATACGATATCTAACTTTGATAAAACCTTACATAACGTCATCTATTGTTGGTGCTAATATTAAATCCAACTGGAAGGAAATAAATTAAATACTAACGAGTATTTGCCGATAAATATAGTTTTATTTATCACACTTTATTTGATTTTCTGGCATGATAAATATATACATATGTATTTATATCCATTACATTAAATTCTTCGCAAATCCATTATTACATGTCTTTAGCATTTATCTATAGTTTGTGGGCCAGATTAAGACTTTAATATGCATATGCTGTTATCGTAAAATACCCATTTTTATTCCCTCAGACACGTTGCGGTTTGGATCCATCCGTAAACTTCGTAATAAGTGAGCTGCTGCTTCGAAAAAAAACTGAAGCTTCAGTTAACTGTACCATAATGTTAACACGTCTTATATTTTCCCCCTATAAATGTCGAATGCCGAATATCTACAAGTAAATGCAATTTGATTTCAGATGAAGCATATTTTTTTGTTAAATGTTTTTGTTGTGAAGACGCGCGCCTACACTGATTTTTTTCGCGCCAAAATTTGTGAGATTTGGTGAAACATACTTAATGCGTGTTTTTACAGCACGAAAAAAGCAAAGTGCTTAAAAGCAATCACTATAATTTAGTTTTTCTAAAATTGCATAACTACAATTCATTGGTGTTTGTATTCGCGATGATTAAGTAGGCTTTCTGGCTGACGCAAAAATGACACAAACTCCCGTATTTTGACTGACAATAGTATTGAAAATCCAAGTTTCAACGTATTTCTTATGCATACACATTCTACTTGAAACCTTTTTCCCCCATGGTTATCAAACATCACTGATTAAAATCAAACAAAATTGAAAAACCTTTCGCTAGACTGCTAAAACTGATTTTGTATCTCACTAAGCATAAATCCCTCGGGCTTCCTTTTGGATTGCTCAGTCTTAGATATTTTAGTTCTGGAACCCTAACTCTACAACCGATTAAACTAGGTTTTAGTAACGGCCATAAAACGTTTTCCCTTAAAAACTGTCTATGTACAATCGTAACCATGACATAGTTAATACTAGTTTACTGGTTTTAGGATTATTAGGAGCTATTTTCACTATTGATTAATATATAAGATCGAGTGTTTTGCCAAGTGACATCTTTTACTATGTAATTTTGCTCTTTGATGTTGATTGTTCTGGAAGGACCGTGTTCCTTGCTTGGTTGTTCTTTGCCTTTTTTAAAACGAGTAGTGGATCTATATGTAACACATGACAAATCCAGGAGAAAAAACTGACCTAGTGATATTTTTTTCCGATGGGATGTTGAAAAAGTTAGACAAGTTAGCGCTTTTTTCTCTACGCATTCGACGAAGAACAGTATGCTTTTACTGGTCAACTAATTCCAGGCAGTCACCTTCATCATTAACCTGCTGGGTGTCGTGTCTTGCTGCACTACGTCCAGCCATTTTCAAACTGCTGTTGAGCGATGCCGAGAGTGTCCTTGGAAAGACAGTTCGCAGCCCTTTCCTGTAGTTATCGATCAAGACAAAGTAAATGCATGGGTTGACAGCAGCGTTGGCCCAGGTTAAGAACTGACAGATGACGAATATGGTCCTAAAGCTGCAAAACGTCGGGAAATTCCAATCCCATTTGAATGCCCACAGAAACATAATAGTGTTATACGGGCACCAGCAAATCCAGAAGACCATTACGATCGTAAATGCGATGACTGTGGCGCTGCGAGACACTCGACGGTTTCTTTTCTTCGCCTCTTGCGACTGGTTCACACGGGGGAACTTCCTTTTACCAAGAGTGATGAGAATAACGGAGTAGAAAAGAACGAGCAGGATTAGAGGTGTAACAAAAAAGACTACGGACAGAATGGTAGAGTAAGTCTTGAGAGCAACCATGTGTTTCTCTATATCATCATGCCATCGCATTATACAATGAGGCTTTCCATTACGGCCAATGACTACACGCATCGTGTAAAACGATGTGATAGAAAAGCCCAAAGAAATGACCCAGGTTGCGACTATCATGGCGATTCGTACTTTGGATGAAATCAATCCTGCGCGTAGTGGGAAGACGACTCCGACAAACCTATCGATGGCCATACAAATCAGGCTTAGTACAGATACGAGCCCTGGGAGTTCGCTCAAGAAAAACGTAATCTTACATAGAACTTCTCTTGCGGGAGCATCCACTATCCAGTGCCCGTAAACTGTACGAGATATCTGCATAGGCATTACCACTAAAGGTATGATCAAATCAGATGCTGCCATGTTGACTATAAAGAAATTGATTGTCTTTCTCATGTTTCTGTTCTTGTAGACGACCAAAATGACGAGGATGTTACCCAAGAGAGAGATTATGAGAATGAGAGAGTAGCCAGCGATCTTACCATCGCGATCTGCTTGTGAAGCCTTCATGCTGCATGATGAACCACCGCTGTTGTTCGGGAACGTTTGGTTTAAGTCTCCCATCTTTATATCGACGGGCAGTATTTCTTTGGACTACGAGAACAATCGGAGAAATAGGGTTTGCAGTTATTACAACTGTAACTTAGTAGTTTGCTGACAACTAAAGTAGGTCTGGCGAAGAAAGGTCACAGTTTTCCAAGTTCAGCTCCTGGCTGTTGTTCACGAGTTGTTTTCACTAAAATGCTAACAAGGCGAGTTTGTCTGGTGGTTTTATACCCACGCACAAATTAACCGGCTTTTAATGTTTTCCTTATTCAGAGTACGTCGAGTATTAGAGCATTATGGTGTCCGTGATATGCGATATTAGGCAATTAACATTGTCAGCCAGTGAAAGATGCCCGACCCCGCTGGCATGATCTGATTAATTAGATAACCGATTACGTGTTCGTGGATTCCAAAAAAGTCGGTCTAAGTACCTAACTGAGCGACTTAGAAACATCCGGTTGTCTTAAATGAGAGTTTATTGCAAGGATTCTGCGATGGTTCAAGTACTGTAAACGGCTCAATTAGCGCATCAATGGTCTACAATGCTCAGAAGGAATCAAAGGAGAGTCTAAAGTATTCGCGACGTTCGAAGCGCGTTGGCCGCAAGGAATTTGAAATAGGCGGTAACCAGTGACTTTGGTCTCGGGAGGTCTACCCTTAGTGTCATAGGTGAATAAAAACGTCTAAGAAACCCGGTGCTACATGCTATAACTGTCCAATGGAAGTTTTTGGTTTCCACCACAAATTTGCTTTTAGTATTATCATTCAAATGAATAAATTTTAACTGAAGCGGATGAACGTATCTCATTACGGAAGAAGAAAGAAAGAATAGCAATGAGCAGATAACGAAGAAAAAAAACTAGATAACATATAATATTAGTCCAATTTCGAAATAACCTCTAGAGATTGAGCTGACTGACAGTACTAGAATTTTTTCAATATGTTATGATTGTCGCTTCGTGCCTGGAAATGTTTTCAAAATAGCTTAGATTAAGGCTTATTGTAGTCTCCTTTGCAGCCGTTCTTAGTGTGTGTCTAAAATCCCTCCCGACACTAAGAACGGCTGCAAAGGAGACTAGGCTTATTGAGATCGGGGGGAAAAAAGCTCGGGCTCACGTATCCTTGGAACCCTTGTCTCAAGTACGTGTCAAATTCATTAAAAAACCGAATCGAATCCCAGCAGCTGTCTTGCTTGGGATAACTAATGTTTAATGAAGGATGTAGTTGACAAATTGTACCTATCTAAATGTATTAGTTACCAGGGTAAAGACAGTTGCATCGGGGAATTGGAACCTTTTGGAATCATTAAGTTTTTTGACGTCAATATTTTCAAGAGGAAGCAAACAAAGATGTATTTTTTTTCCCTTGTCAAATTCAATTTTTAATTTAATAATAAATGGAAAAGTTTCATGCTTTGTGACGTTTTGTGCCGCCTTGGGTCTCTCAGACCTCTCATATTATATTAAGTTAGTAGAGTTCCCTGTTGGTTCTAGTTCAACGAGGGTTTTTCTTCACGTTTTCCAGTTAACCTCACTTCACAAAAAATTACATCTTAAATTCCAATTAGATCTGACGTAAAAATCTTTAGAACCATGGGCCTCCCCGAAGTTTTTATTTATTCTGTAGAGTTAAGGACGACGAAGAATATGTTTGTTAGCTAGAGCCGATTTTAGGAATTAGCCATTGTTTATTGACTCTGAACATTCATGTTCAATGAAACAATTGTGCTATTTTCAGCAAAATACGTGACAGTCTCACAGGCTCTGCTGCCCATGTCTTTGGATCCAAGTGCACCTTCAATGACTCGGTCTGACTTATTTAAAAAATCGTGCGAAATAAATAGCTCCAGGGAGACTCATCAAACTACTTGTGCGAAGGTAATAGATTCTATTCACGATAGACGCCATGATGGTTTCCGCGAGGCCTCCGCATCGTAATGCAGATTAGTCACGTGGTTCGCGAGCAGGCAAACAATTTCAAATCAAGGTTCATTTTTAACAAGAGTGAAAAACGTCTGCGCATGTTCTGAATCCGTATGCAAATTAGTCAAAACATTTGTGAATTTGACTTTCAAACATGCCTGATATAATATATTGGACTTCACAAATATCATATCATATACAGCCCGATGAATCAGTAACAAACAAACCCATATTTTGTAAAATTTGATTAAATACTGAGTCCCGCCGAGTTCGGTGTTGTATATGAGTAGAGTCCGGTTGGTTCTCTCCTGTGCTTCGAGGGTTTAGAACGATATAACATAGGTTATAATCCATTCTCGTACCCAGAACCCTTATTTCTTACTGCGCATGCTCGCAGTAAAAAATAAGGGCTCTCGGAAAGAGGTTAGTTATAATTACGATAAACGCCATGGTAGTTTTCATATTGCAATGCAAATGAGCCTTTCAGGGAGCCAAATAGACCCCTTGCAGTCCGTTGGAATGAAGCTCAATTTGGAGGACATAACGATAGGTTTCCAATTCTCAGTGAAATTATTTTGTTTTGTCCTCCATCTAAATTGAGCTGCTTTGACGTCACATGCAAGGGGTCTATTGGAAGAAGAAGAGAACCTTCTTAAGAGAACATATTCGATGGATCAAATTCAATGATAATAAAAATGATTCACATGCATGAAGCAGTTAAAATGCATACTAAAGAAAAATGTTTGCGCATGCGTGCATTTCAGCACGTTTTCTAAGAATTTGAAAAGTTTGAGTGAGAAAATAAATGTTTGTTTTCTCCAAGTATACAAAAAAGTTCGAGAGTATACTTTTGCCAGACCAAGCATGAAAGTTCTCGTTCTATGCCGCAGGCCAGAAGAAACGCAGGCTCTTGGTACGAGATTGGATATAAGAGAAAAATAGAACGTTTTCAAGGTTGCGTGCGCAGCCAACTTGAGTTGCCACAAAATTGAAAAACGCAAATTCAGTAAAATTGAGAATCCAGGAGAATAATCAATTTTATGAATTCTTATGAAAATATCGATATAGCATTTCATCATTGCTACGAGCAGGTATAAGAGTGCTGAATATCTATATGTTAACTAATTTTTTAACTTTTAATCTATCATTTCGTGTAACGAAAGCAGCCATTATGTAATTTTATAATACAACTACAATAGCGCAGCGCACTGATTCTAAAAATAGCTTAAAGATTCGGACAAACATTGCATTCTGTTTAACCGCTACGAGGACTATACGAACCGATTTTATTATTTTTAATAACCCATAATAATAATAATAACCCATGTAAACTAAGATCAACTGCGATCGGCTGTGAAAATTATCTGCTGAAAGTAAACTTGTAAGTTTGTTTGTCCGAATTTCGACTTCGTTTTTATGACGTCACGGCTGCGCTGCGCTATTTCCTTGGCTCAATTGACCCAACCCTAGTTTTTTCTAAAGCGTACGCCACTCTAAGGATAGTGCTTTCGTCGAATTTTCTCCCAACGACGAGCATTCCAACGGGAAGTCCCTGGGACAGTCCGACTGGTATTGACACGGCAGGATGGCCGGTGATGTTAAATGGGCAGTTCCCAGAATGTTCTTTCAGTAAATTTAATCGATCTGCAGGACAAGCAACGAGACAATGTTTCAGAGAGGTAGTACAATAACTAGAAGAATATATGACATCGTACGACGTGCGAAAATCAAGGCACGCCTATCAACCCTAATGTCAAATCATCAAATAGAGACAAGAGACCATGGTCTCTTGATAGAGAATATCTCTGTGAGAATTAGCTCAAAATGACTGAAACTTTTGGTGATTATAGTGCGCCATGTCCAACAAAAGTTTCAGTCATTTTGATCTTATTCTCACAGACATATTTGATGTTTTGACCTTTTGCAAGGATCCTGGACTGACGTCATTATTTCGTGTTTTCTATATTGAATATCTCGTTAACGAAAAGAGATGTCAAAAAGAAAGTAGTGACTATTCTTATTTATTTTATAAGGGCTTTCAAATCAGGAAGAGATCCTGTAGGCTTGATAGGCAGTTTAATTAAGTTATTACAATCATAAAAAATCTGCTTTTCTCGCCGAAGCTTTGCGATTTATTAGTTACCTCTTAGTGTAGAAGTGGAGGGTGGAATAGGCTTGGCCTTCATTGGTGTAGTAGGCAGAACGAGGACATCAACGTTTTGTAGTGCCTCGTCGTACTCTTCCTCTAACATTCTTCCCAAGTTCCTTGCCTTACTAAGTAGAAGATATTGGCCTTGATCGTGTAAGTATTTTCCTGTAATGGCCGTCAACTTGGCGTCTTCACTCATTTCATTTGCTCTAGCTTTTATGCCTTTCTGCAAGGCTTGGTGGAGGGATGTAATTTGATAGCTTTTGTCACTTGTACCAATGCCTAAAACGATACGAAATTAGAGATAGATTGATCGTTTTCCTTTTGTGATCTTGCATGGGTCTTTATTCGTCGCTCCACTTCGACCGCCTACATTCCTTTGTAGTTTCTGTTTCCTTGACCTTTCTACCTGAGAATACGTTTTGTCCCAGCGTACCCCAATGAGAATGTTGCTATTTCTCGCACTTAGTTTCCATCCTTGGAATAGTTTTGCTTTCTCTACCCTCTTGAGTATATTTGAGCATATTCATATTTGTTATATTTATTCTTATCTCGCATGCCTCCTTGAGGATATTTTCGTTTTCTTTTATTTCTTCCTAACCTCGGAATGTTTTTTTATTTTTCCCTTGCCCTCCACCCTAAGGACTGATGTCTTTGTCTACTCATCAGTCATCCCTATCTACCAAGGATTCGTTCCCTTCATTAGAGTGATTTTCATATGATCGTGAAAGAATAGGCAAACTAATAGTTAGTAGTAGACTCTAAACCAATGATTTTCTTTTGTTCTTTATCAACTATTACAAACTAAATGGTCTATTTTCTTTCACGGTCATGTGAAAATCATTCTAGGGCCCCGGCATAAGGATGATTCTGTTAGTGATGTCCTTGCATACGATACTTACATTTCCCATTAAAAAGAGATTTCCAAATTCCAAAATCAGAGATTGCTGTAGAAATAGCTACACCTAACATTAACAAAAAGCGAGTAAGTATAGAGTGTGTGCAACCATGCGACTCAAAATTCCTTGAGATATGAATAACAATGAAACAGCCGCCATCTTGGTTGATCTAACAAGAGAAGCTAAAATAGTCATAAAACAGTTACAGGGCTGTAGCCAACGCGGTCTGGTTGGGATAGGCGGCAGTGTATCAGCACGGTTTATTATTATAAAGAAAATATACATTAAAAACCGCGCGCTCCAAAACGTGTTCCAGCTGATAATGGAACATTCGCAGCGGGTGGCTACGGTCCTGACTTCGTAACACCCTTTTTTTTTGATGGCACTTAGAAGAAAAACCGCGGTCTAACGTACCGTCTTTGTGCATTGGCACAGAGATTTCTTTCATTGGAACACCTGTTAGAAGTGCTAGTTGTTGGGCTGCTTGTCTTACCATGTCGTCTACATCGTGCTCCAATTTTTTGTGCTCAAAACCCTCTTTCAAAATACCAACGCGGAGACCAGAAATGCCATCTTTGAGCTGTGGATGATAAATACATCGCTACTTTACAACACGCTCTTTGGTTCGTGTCGTTCTCCGAATAACGAAATCAAGATTCCATAAATAAAGCTATTAATAACCTCTTCAAGCTGTTCACGCTTGAGGTGGTTTGACTGTATAATGCAATAAATCGTTTGCAATTGACCCTGCAAATCGCATTTCCGAGAGATGTAGGGGGGGGGGGGGAGAAGGGCCTTCCCTCGGATCCCCCAGATTAGTCCCCCGCTGTACACTATGCTACGCCATCCATGGTTCTATCAAGAATATAGTTTGAAATTCGACCTTCGGAAATGTCAACCATAACAGCTGGTAAAGTTTTTAAGTTATGTCCAACGCTCTTACAAAAATCACTCTTGTGAAAAGCGCTAGCTCCAAAGATGAATTCTTGTCCGTCAATGATCATTGCATACCTTTTCAGTGTAACAAATGTCTTGATCGACTTGTAACGACTGTCTTGCGTCTCTGCCGCCATCATACCCTGCGATTACCTACGAATAGTACAACATTTAGTGTTTCTGTTGGCCCCCCCCCCCCTTTTTTTTTGCCCTTTACATCAACCGTTCCGAAGTTGTGGGTAATACCAGAGCATACCTCGAGTAGAAGCGCAACGTCGTACACAGTTCTTGCCATCGGTCCCAAATGATCGATAGATGGCTCTAAAGAGAATGCTCCAGTATAGGGCACTAAACCGTGAGTTGGCTTAAGACCTACGATACCACAACGACTTGCAGGGATTCTTATAGAACCCCCTTGATCTCCTCCAATCGCCATGTCCACCAAACCCGCCGCTAACTGAAAGGAAATAAAAGCACGTGCTGTGCTTGATGACACTTACTCAGTAAACCCTAACCTAATGTTAATGTCCCTTTTAGAAAATGCTACTTTTTTTTCTCATTCTCGTTTGCTAGCAAAAAATAAAGCTAGTGAAGAATTTCGGATCGTTGATCTTTGAGCCTTAGAGACAAGCAGTTGTTTTGTTTTGTTCGCCTTTAAAAAAAATCAGACTACGTGTCAATTCCTTGCGTATTATTATTGATTATAAAATAACTTATAAATCTCGCGTTTTGATTGGTTGGGAGCGCGTGCTTTATGAGAGCACACAGCACGCGCGCGCACTTTCAGTTGCGTCATTCCTATCTAAAATAACGGTTATTGTAATTTGTATTTTATAAAATAAATAAATAACTTGCTTGCCGTGCTGCGTGGAGTTATAAAGCAATTGGGGGCTGCCAGAACACTTGAGAAGTATCGAGAAGCACTCCGCTACGCGTCGTGCTTCTCCTAGTGCTTGATAACTGCATACAGCACGCGCGTGCGTTTTCATATTTCTTCATTATTAGGGGCTGATCCACGAATTTTCAATCAAAAAGGGAAGTGTGGATTCGAGATACGGATTTTTTTATATGAGTTCAAAGAGGTCAAAACAAATAAGGTCAAAGACGTTCCAAATAAATGAGGTCAAAGAGGTTCCAAAATAATAATACAAAACCAATAAAAGGAGAGCTAGTTTTCTCTGGAATTTAAGTTCAACTGTTTCGGTTTTCCTTACCAAAGCTGCGCATCCTGAGGAAGAACCACCGGTCATCCTTGTCTCATCATGTGGATTCCTAACCGGACCAGTAGCTGAGGTATAACTAGCAGCACTCCAACACAAGTCCTCACAAACTGCTTTACCGACTATAGTGCCACCAGCATCAAGCACCCTTGTCACTACAGAAGCGTCCATTTCTGGAATATAGCCTTCTAAGACTCGTGATCCAATCATCATCGGTACACCTGCTAGGCAGATGCTATCCTTGAGTACTACTGTTCTACCATGGAGCTTCCCTTGCTTGGCACCTTTCACTTCGCACTTCCAGTACCTTCATCAAAAATGTTTTAAGTCATTAAGTTATCGTGTAACCTGGATCTCTGGACTTCTGGACTAGTACGGATCAAAGTTAGGGCACGGCTAACTCACAGGTCGAATTGGAATTCAGTAAATGTATTGAGGAGGGAGGAATTATTCAAACCGGGAGCCAAAAGAAAATTTTTTGAATCAAGGCTCTCCCTAACTCCACTAACTCCACTCACATGAGATGCTAAGTCCAGCAAACAATCGAACCATCGCGTCAGTCTCCCTATTTTAACAATCCTGGACTGTGGACTTGCTATCGCGTGTTGCACATACAGTATTAGGATTTTGCGGGCTTACATCTGAATAATAATAATATATTTATAATAATAATATATTTATAACGCGCATATTTCGAATATATATATATACCCCTTCCGAGAAACTTTGTCACCCGTGAAGCGAAAAGCGTATAAACTAGTGGCGCGGGGAGTCATGGGATAGTTTATATTTGACCACGTGCACACCAACACATGGGTCGAAGCAATCATGCCGCGAGCATTAAGTGACGATTTACGGATGAGAAGGGTACTGCTATATGGTTTAAACCACAGTAAAGGTGACATTGCTGTTCGCTTTGGCATGTCTTCAAGGTCCGTGTTACGCTTCGCCCGACGATATTACGAGAGACCGAGATGTTTGTGCTGACAAACCAGGAAGAAGCTGGAAGACCTGCTGGTTCGTATTCGCTATCGCAACAAGAACAAGCCGTTTTGATGCAAGAATTGTTAGGACACCCAGAAAAAACTYTATCTGAGCTCYGTAGACACGTTGAAGGAGTATGTGGTGCCAGGCTTCCTGTTTCTACTTTACACGACTATTTCAGAAGAAATGGCATCACACGCGAAATGGTAATATTAAGTGTTAAATGCATTCTTGTAAGCCGATGAGAAATCTGTAATCATGAATGTTGTATTCGAAGATTGCTGCAATTTTTCATTCAACACATTTCACTTTCGGTGTTTATAGCTCAAAAGAATTCCTTATCAAAGATGCGAAGAAGATCGAATAAAATATTGGTCTGTGGTATCACAATTCAATCCTGCGATGTTTGTGTTCCTTGACGAGTGTGGATTTGTAAGTTCTCTTTTCAGAAACTCATTTTGTTATACCTTTTTAACTGATCTCCGCACTGGGTTTGTCACACTGACAGAGATTATAACAAATGTTTCTGCATTACATGATAAACGAATTTCGAGACGCTTTGGATACAGTTTTCGAGGCTATCGAGCTCAAACGCAAAGATGGTATGGCAATTGGGGTCCCAGGATTACTGCTATCCCTGTCATCTGCACGGAAGGAATAATAGACTTCAGTATCCGCCGCGGGAATACCAATGAAGAGAAATTTCTTGAATTTGTGAATGAAAACCTTATTCCTAATCTACAGCCGTTTGATGGGATTAATCCTCGCTCTGTGGTCGTAATGGGTGAGCACTCACCTCACATCAGATTTTGTTAGTATTTTATTACAACGCACTAAATTAATGAAGACAATTGCATTATATTCATTACAGATACTGCTAAAATTCACCGCTGTCGTCGTGTAGTTCAAGCTATAAATGCTAGTGGCGCTCTTGTGGTATTCTTGCCATCTTACAGTCCTGACTTCAATCCATGTGAGAACGTTTTCTCTCAAGCAAAGAGTTGGATTCGAGGAAGTGATGTTGTGTGGCAAGTGTGTCGTGATGATCCAGAGGAAATGGTGTTTGAAGCCTTCATGCAAATCTCTGATGCARACATTAGAAACTATCTAAGATTTACAGATTACTTGTAAAGCCCTCCGTGCACTTATTTGCAAATGACAAATAAGCATGTAAATGATACTCAGCAACAAACAAAACAACCATAAAGCATTTTACATTATTGTCAAATAATAATTAAAGTTTCTTAAGATCTTCTAACATCTTCTTCTTCTGTTCCTCAAACTCATCATTGCTAAGTACATTGGCATCTTTAAGGTTCTTCAACTCCACAAGCTGTTGAAGAATCATCCCTCGAGCTTTAATCTACAGAGCAAACAGAATTCCACTGCTTAATTTTTTAACCATGTTACGTGTCAAATAACTTTCCTTCTAAACGCAATTTCAAGAGGACTTCACACCTTTGTTTCATTTGGTTCCATGGCGGAATCCACTTGTGTTCTRGCCGACTGAAGTGAGGTAGAACTACTAGTTGAAGTCGTGGTCACAATGGGAGTCATATTAGATGTAGAAGGAACTGCACCTGTAGGCTCTAGTGCAAAAAAGCAGCATTCGGAGGTACGGTGTCTTCGCGGTGACTCCCATTTACCTATAAAAACCATTATCACAATCGTCAATGTTTTGCTTAGGTTCGAAAAGCAGTAATAACCCAAACCATTGTTGATCCCGTGTAGAGGATTATATCTCCGCTTTGTGACTTTTATTGCAGTTTTAATAAGGAAGAAACCCCCAAATTTCCAAAATTACCAGAGTCGTTTACATGTGCGATTGAAAGATCGCTGCAAACTACCACACATTTTATTGTGTAGTGGATAAGAAAACCTAACTTTTTATCTTACATTATGAAAACTGCTCTACAATTTATCGATCCAGTCTAACTTACCAACATTCTAGCCCAACACTTCAGTTTAAAATCGCTAAGAACTGATCCATGTGTTCACGTAGCCTCGACAAATAGTTATTGAAAAGGCCCTTGTCTTCTTCGACGGAATCATTTTCTACAAATTTAAAGACAAACATTCAATTCAGAATACACCGACTGATACTGAATACTGTAAACATAGCAATGGAACATTTTATTAAAACCCGTAACATAGGTCAGATCATAACGAACTTGTTAGAAAAGAAGTGGCATTTTATAATTTATTCGTTTTTATCGGATTCCCTTCAAATATTCACGTGCGCCATGCACAAACGATTCTAAAATTTAAAACCTTACTAACAAAATTATCACAGTCCAATTTTAAGCTTTACAAAAGAAAAAATACAGACAGATAGCTAGCATAAAGGTATTTATCCATTTTAAATTGTATCACGTTTTAGTGCTCAGTAACTTACTCTTCTTCTTGTTTTTTGACGCCTTGAAATCAAGACACATGACTTCGTCCTCGTCCACAGTCTCTCGTTTCTTTGGCAAACTTGTTTTTTCGAAATGCGTATGTGGCTTCAACCAAAATGTGACATAGTTTAGGCTTTCAGCTAAATAGGCCTCTCTTAGGTGTTCCTCTGTACAAATGGTCAGTTTTCTTCCTCTCGTGCCATAATAACCAAGGTCAAAACTGCTGATGTCCTTTGCTGGGCTTATTTCTTCAGCGTGTTTTTTCACTAAATAGCTTTTAAACTCTTGGACAGTTTTGAATATTGGTACTTCTTTCAAAGAGAACATGGAACATTGATTTTTGTTCTCGTGCTTATACACTTTAAGCATTACGTTAATGCGTACTGCGTCGGCCATAATGGCTCTTTTAAAAATCCCGCGTCAAACAAACTCCCGCGTCAAGCAAGTTTCCCGTGCCAAGAAAGCTTCTGCATCATGCATGGTTTATTTGAACGCATTTCCCATGAACCTCCGCGCCACTAGTTCATACGCTTTACGCTTCACGGGTGACAAAGTTTCTCGGAAGGGGTGTATATATATATCGATCCAAAGAAATTGAAGAATTTCAATTCATGGACTTGGCATCACGCTTGAGTAGAGCTTTTAAACTCTAAAAACCCTTAAAAGGGTTCAGTACAGTCCTCCACATTCGATTTCCCCAGCGGAGCCCCGCGGCCCCCCCCCCCCCCCCCCTAAGTAAAACCGAATGCACTATGAGATTCCTGTTCCTGTAAGCTAGCTGCGCCTTGCCTTAGATTAACCCAAAGGTTGTTTCAGATTTTGATAAAATTGAACTTTGAGGGAGGGACCTAAGGTGGCTAGAATTATTGCTTAATCGGATCACCATGCGCGCTTCCAGGATATAGTATTTTGCATTGAAAAACGAATGGAAGAGAAAGGCAAACAGTTCAGTATAAAGAAAAGGATTATAGGAAAGAAGAAAAAAAGTAAGAAAATACTTTACCAGGCATTAAAAGGATTCTCATTGGCTGCAGGACGATATCCAGGGTCACGCGGATACTTGACAGGCAGCTTTGGGTCGGGTAACTCACGAAGTCGCTCGTATGAACTCGACAAAGATGAAGCAATTTGTTCTGAGAATTTAATCAGAACAAAAGCATCAATCACTTAGCACGAAGTGATTGTATTTACTTTAACGAAACGTGGTTAAGTTAGGCAAATGACATATTCAATTAGGGGGTAGTGGGTACTTATGGATGGAGGATGGTTTTTTGGGATCTTAGTCTTAGGGTATACGGTCTTTTTTAATATCGTCATGAACAGGCTAATCAGTCTTGAACATAGGTTCAAGGTGATCTGAGCAAGGGCACTAGGACACCGAACGTGGTTGGATTTCTAAAGTTTATTTTCCCTCTCAATTATTTGAATTAAATTAAACGTATATACTTGTTTACTTATCTTGCGTCCGTGTTCCTTCGCTGTTATAAATGTAGACGTTTTCTTCCAAAGGTCAAATGGTTTGAATAGCCGATGAGCGTTACTTCTTTACTAGTAACGGCCGTTCCGTACTTGGCTCTGTTTGTACCAACAACAACAACGCGACCACCAAAAAGAAAAAAAAAACTCTAAGACGGTTGAATATTACTGACGTAAGGAGCATCGCGTGGTCGCGTTGTTGTTGTTGGCACGAACAGAGTCAAGTACGGAGCGGCCGTTACTAGTAAAGAAGTAACGCTTATCAAACCATTTGACCTTTGGAAGAAAACGTCTGCATTATTATAACAGCAAAGGGACACGGACGCAAGATTGGGAAACAAGTATATACGTTTAATTAATTCAAATAATCGAAAGGAAAAAAATCTTTAGGAATCCAACCACGTTCGGAGTCCTAGTGCCCTTGATCTGAGGAAAAGCGATTAACCAATGAAATCGTGAATCGTATTTTCCGAAAAAGAATCAATCGAATTCTTCTTTGTGCCGGCATAATCTAAGTACACAGGGCGAAATAGGTACTTTTTTTCAAAGGTCGGCTAAGATTTTTGGACTTTATTTCACATTTTGACGATTTTATTGAGGTTTAAGTACCGCCATACTTTTCTCAGTTTTAATACAATGTGACACCACAGAAACCTAGCTTGGGCTTCCTGTGGTATGAGGAGCTTCTGGGTGCGAGAATCATATCGGGCCAATAGTTACAAGAGGCAAGATGGAAATTTACCCCAAAAATCATATTGCCAGCTTTTTTATTTCAAAATAAACTTGCGTCCGACAAGTCCCACTCTTCAGACTTCCCGGACACGATATTACACGAGGGTTCGCTATTTTCTTTTAGGATTTCACTGAGATATAATCCGAAGATCGCCCAAAATTAAAAGAAGATTCGTATTTCTCATTTTATAGGAGGTTCGTTTGCTGTCCGCCTATACTTTTATCCGATTTTTGTTTTTCGCAGTATCTAATAAAAGAATAAACTGAAATTTCTCACCTTGATAAACATGAAGCTCATCTTCGTTAAGTTGGAACCCCAGACACTTTGATATGCGTTCAATTTCTTTCGATGATGGAGGATTGTACTTTTGAAACTCTAAGGTGCTCGGATTGACAGCCATCCTAAACTGAAAGATAGTGCTAGCACCGACTGAAACTTCTCCGCGACAAAATCGAACAGAAATCGAACTTCCATATAGTCTCAGCCGCTATTAGTGTAGTCACGCCATATTGCGCCATTATATAAAATAGATTCTGATTGGCTGTTAGCCATTACTCATTCTAACGTGAACTCCCATTGGATAACACTATCAAACCGGATGTGATCTTCACCGGATGTTTAGTGTAACACGAGCGAGTGCGGTGTTTTCCTTGATAATCTTCAAGTAGAATGATTACCCTTCCCAAAATAACACCAAAAGTTTGCAATTTGTGCCATCGATTCATCGCAAAAGATTATGAAGTTTTTCTTTTAAATGGAAAACAAAAATTCAACCCTATTTTAGAAGTGCAAACACTATAACTTGAAGTACGACGAGCGAGTTCATGTGCCGTCAGTGCATTGACAAGCTTCTTCGACGTCGGTATCATTTCCGATAGCTACAGACAGTATTCCTAAATTACTTAGGGAAGAAACTTGGTCTTCCATTATAGATTTTAATGGAGATATGACTACTAACACGCAACTTCCACGAGGTCTTTCATAGAGCATCAGATACGATAGGTAAACACTAGCGACTTTCCGTAGCCCGTTGGCAAGTTTACGAACACTTTTCCCTTTTAAAGAATGCTTTGGTGGAATCTTGTTGCTCTTGAAAAATATTTTCTATTTCAAACTGATTCTTTACTTCTAAAAACGCTCTAGTCCAAAGATCTTCATCAAAAGAAAACACCATTTTGCAAACTAGGACGCTTTGCTCATCCACATCCGTTTTGATAGTGTTATCCAATGGAAGTTCACGTTAGAATGAGCAATGGCCAACAGCCAATCAGAATCTATTATATATAATCGCGCAATTTGCGCGGGGTCTAGAACAAGCTTTCTGACGATGTTTCGCAGACGGTATTTACGAAGAAAATTCCGGATGTGACGCAGCTAGCGAATCCCGGACTGATTTTGGATTTTCGCTGGAGGTGATTATCGTGTGATAGTGTGAGTTTCTCCACCAATCAGCGCGCGAGATTTTCTATAATCTCCTGCGTATTTTTACTAAAAGTCCATAACCTGTAGATCCCCTCCCCCTCAAGAAAACGATATTTCTTATATCTATGGGAGCCACCTCTACTGAGTCTCGGTGTTCTCTCCTGTTTATCTAAGCTTTGATTTTCAAACCGGGAAGGGCTCTTTATTATTACCCCCTGCTCCCGAAAATCTTCGACTGCCTTCGGGAGAACGTCGGCAATCTCCTTCGTCTCGAAGTCCCATGCACCCTCCCTTCCCTACGTATAATTTTGTCACACACTGTTATTTGCCAGGCTACTAAGTTAAACAGTTCGGAAAAACTGAAAAGCATACGATTGTTGCTGCCATTTTTCTCCTTTTTTAGGAGTTTTTCCAGCGATAATGGCGGTAAATTTTTATTTACTTATAAATAGTGATCTTTATTGAACACATACTATCTTTCTGAACCATTGTCGTTGTCTTTTATTCCTGTTAATTTACGATTTTTTTTGGCTGTTCACAGAGCATCGATACCTCAATCACACATGCTTCGTCTTTGGAAAACTTCCTCGAATGTAAGCACCGTTTTACTCAACCACTATCTTAAGTTTATTCTTGAAAAGATTTTTATTACAAGACTGTTTCGATCTTGTTTTAGTCACAGAATGTTTGCCTGACGACATCCAAAGAAGTATTACCCAGATGAGAGAACTTGATCGCCAATACCAAGGTACGTTTACAGTGATTTGGAAATATTTCTCAGTCAGTTTACAACAGTAAACTCACAACAAGAGATTTATTAACGTTTAGTGTAGTAATTGAGTGTAGAATTAAAAGCAGGGATATATTAACTTGATTTTACTAATTTTGTGAATGCTTTAAGATGGGTCAACGGAAGTGTGGATAAGATAATTTTTCCTATACTTTAGCATACATGTAGGGAAAGAAATCTGTAAACGCAAATTCTGCTCAGTTCCGGTAATTAATCGTGGACGGATTTAGATTGGAAATCTGAAGACCGATTAAAACAGAAGATGAGACCGTTACAAATTCTTCCCAACTGAGAGTACTTTCGAAGGAGATCGAATCCAATGATTGACTTATGCACCTGTCATCAGCTTCCACGAGGGGAGGGGACCCCGGGCAAATGTGGGGACTTTGCTTTGAGACTAGAGGAAAGCTATCTGTATTTCCCCAGATATGGGGCAAGGTTCTTAGAAAATACCCCTATATTCCACCAGCCCCTGGGGCAAAATTGTTATGGAGTTGAAATAACAGATCACAAAAGTAACACAAAACAGTAGAGTGCACACACTAAATCCATAAAACAAACTGGAGACAAGATCTTAGTAACATGTATAGCAAATAGAGTATTTGATAATATCTTAACTTTCTACAAACTCTTACTGAAATACTAAATCAGCATCTGTCTCTAGCTTTCACTTGCTGCTACAGTTACAGTAACTTGACCTTCAGTATCCGCCATTTTGTGCATGACTAGTTTTTAGTTTACGAGCGGCGTAGGTTAACACAGCAACCCCAATGCCATTAAATCGAAGTCAAAATAAAACTCAAACAAAAAACGATGTTTATGCCTCCGCTTGCTTTTTTAGACCTTTAGAGTCCAATACTTTATTGAAAACAGCTCTTTACAAAGAACTCTAATGCTTCAAGGGGGTTTCAGAACATTTTATCTATCTACCACTATTCCCCCAGGTACTGGGGCAAGGATTTAAGGCTAAGTCCCCACTTTCCCCCACATTTCCCCAAGTCTAGCCCGGGGTCCCCCCCCTCATGGAAGCCGATGACAAGTGCATTATAATATTTTTTTAGCAACTGCATACCAGCTGCATTGTGTATTGTATATAGACATACAGTATTTCTAGGTCCTTTTCAACCTAAGCTTGCATATAGTCCTTACCTTTTTTATTTATATTTTATAATAAATAATAAGTAATGGTATAGATAGTAGTAATTGTTGATCAACTATTAAAGTGTTAACCTGAACATTTGGGGTGAGGTGGGGTACAGTATGTCATTTTGGAACAAAAAATTTGCTCATTCATCTACACATATACATGTAACTGAAAAGAAATGCCAAATGCAAAGAGTCAAATGTGTGATGAAAACGTTACCCTTAGAAATCTTTTTTATTCATTTTTGCTAAAAAAAGAGTGGTCATGCTACCTTGTTGCATTAATGCAGGAGAAAGAATCATTAAGCACTAATATTCCACCCTGGGTGCAAAAAATTCTCTTAGTTGCACAAAGTAGATGCTCTTTACCCATTGCAGGAAAGAAAACTTGTATGCATGTTAAGTACTTAGAGTGGGCAACATTCATCCTGCAACTTGAAAGGCTTTACTATTTAACAAAAAAAGAGCTTTTTCTGTGCTCTGTTCAGTAATAAAGCATGCAGGAAGTGACGTAAGCATGAAAGAAGTGTAAGGAGAAGCATAAAGCCTAGGCAAGTGCTTCTCACACTTATTGAGTGCTTACAGTGCTTCCTAAGAGCTTTATTAATGAACAGAGCATGGAGAAAGCCATTTTATTCGTTTTATTATATAGATATTAATTTTATTTCTGTATTGAATTTATTTATGCAAAAAGAAAGAACGTTGCAGGATTTAGCAGCACTTTGCGTGTGCGGATGGCGTATGCACTGTGCTCTGTTCACTAATAAAGCACAGTTTTCAACAACTAAGCGTGCGTGTGTGTGTGCTATCCTAACTACGTAATAATGCAAGTTATGCAGTCATACTTTGTTGCTTGTATTAAACTACACCTTAAAGACGTAGTTTATTCTTCCAAGTTTGCTGCCACTTTCGAGAGAGATAATTGAGAAGCTTTTCTTTGGCTATTTGCAGAGCGACTGAAAGAAATAGAAAGATTGATGAATTCTTATCAAAAAGAAAGAGACTCGGCAATGAAGAGAAAGTATTTAATTCAAATCCAGAGACGGTTGGTAAAAAGCCAGGAATATGGTGATGAGAAACTACAGCTAGTTGGACACATCATGGAAGTGGTAAGATATGTTGCAGTAGTTATCAATTTTTTTTCTTATTATACCTTTAGAGTGCATTGATTCTTAGAAAGACATTTGCAATTTTCAGCAATCAGTGTCTGTATGCTGTGTATCGAAACCACATTTTATCTTGTCTAGCATAGCAACAGTAACTAGGGGAGGTCGAATAATGGATGCAAAATCAGTGTATTCCTGTAAAAACAAACTAATAATGGTATCATACATTGTTTACCAAGGTTGAAAATAGAAGTCGGCAAGTAGAAATTGACATGGAACACTTGGATACTTATCGTAATGATGATATGCCAACACAAATTATCAAGCATGAAGTTCCAGGTAAAAATAAATACCAGTATCACGGCAATACATTAAAACAAATAGAATAAAATATTTAAACAACTTGAAGCAATTATTATTTGATTGAAGTGCAAGGAAAGCATTTATTTGTCAAAAATTAAATAAATGTTTCACTTCTTATTGCTGTAGATGACTTTAGTGGTTTCACTTGCTACGTAGGTTGCCTTTCCAGGATTCTTTTGCTATGTTACGTGAACGGCTGTGGATACAGCACATGGATCATTGGTTGTCAACATGCCATTCATGGGGAAAATTTCACAAAATTTATTATAGTATTAGTTAAAATTAGCCCTTGATGACCAACATGTGGTTAACAAAAGTCTATACTTGGCATTTTACAAATTTATATTAAGTACTGTACAGGATTGAGAATTTTATATCAACTCATCTTGATAAAATGAACTTTTGTTTCTCTCGTTAGTGTCAATGATTGAAGATATTCCAGTAATAAAAACAGAAAAGACAAAACGTAAGTCCTATAGTATACTCCTGAGCTGCTAATCAGGAATATCACTCTTTTAATTTGCTGTATCCTAGGGCTCTAAATAGAAAAGAAATTGTAGCCTGCTATAGTAGATAAAGGAAGTCATTTCAGTAAATATTGCATGCCATTTTACTATTAATTTGACAGCACATTGTTATTTTCTCCTGCCAAACCTGAAATTTGGCCTGCCCTATGGCAGGGCACTACACTGTATTTCGAACCCTATATCCCAATCGATTGGCTCAAGGGATGATTTACAGTATGAATACAGTATGCAAGTGTTCATGGCTTGAGAGTCCTTGACCACTGTAAACCCTATGATTCTTGTCACATGATTAGATTTTATTCATCTGATATTATGGTGGAGGAAACAGTAAAATCTGTTTGGCTAATTTTGGAACAAATCAGGTATCTTTTATGTTCAGTTGGGTTCCAGAGACTTTGTACAGTAGGACTAAAAATACTAATATTTTTAAAAGAAAATTAAACAGCTTCTCTTTGGTTATTTAAATAAATATGGCTATGATGTTGAAATCTCCAATCTTTTTTCCTCTAAATAAAGTAGTACACGATATAATAATTTCATTATTTGTTCTAAAGTCAATATTTCCTTCTTATATGCTATTAATTTATTTTCTTGTGTGTAAACATTTAAATTTTTTTCTTCTTCTTTTCTTCTGTTAAACACAAACCCGCCCAGACTAGCTTAGCTATTTGCGGGGGAGTGTATTTTATTTAACTATAGTAATTTATCTTTAGAAATTTATAAATTGTAATTGTAATTGTAATTTATAAATTAATCTGTTGGAAAAACTATTCTTAAAATGTTCAGTGCTAACCGCAGGTATAGTGGTACTTGACCTTCTTAAATATTATATGAACTAATTTTGGCAATAGGCATTAATATTTTTAAAGGATCGTTATCAACTTTCTTAATCTTGGCTAAGATATAGTAAGTGTGGTGACTACTGTACTGTACCTGTGGAAGTCATCTGTGGATTTGTTAACATTCATGTGTGCTGTACTATATAGTCATACTGTTTTATTTTGATCTCAGGGAACAGACGGCAAAGAAATCATGATAAGCATGATTCTGAGACAGGAGGAGGATCATCAGGAGGGGCTGATAACCAAAAACCAGTCAAGAAGAAGGCTAAAGTCAGCAGAAAGTTAGTATCATGGAGCAGATTTCCTTTAGCTAATGTAATCAACTCACACACCCATTTGTTTACAGAAAATGCAGATCTAAATTCAATATACAGCCTGTAAGGGTGTAATGTTTTCCAGTATCAGGCCCTGTTTCATTCCCTAAAGTACCATGTCTTGGAAGACACATTAATTAAATATATGGATGCATTTGAGACAAAGAAATTTCCTAGATTTCTATGGGGTCGGAAATGTAAAATTATTAATGTCTATATGCTAAGGAGGTCTATTAAGAAAAATTCAGTGAACTCAAATATATTCTATTTTGATGGCACAATACTATAATATTTATCACACAGTATCTAAAACTCTACATTACATTGATATCAACACAGTCCATATGTTAAATACCAGTCTTTTCGATACGTGCCAGTTTTGATACACTGACAGTGTTTAGGTTGTTTCAATACCTGAGTACAGTATTGTCGTTTTGATACACATCGTATAGTCCATTTGATACACATCGTATAGTCCATTTGATACATGTTGGTATCAAAGTCAAAGCGCATAATTGAAGAAATAAATGTCAAGAAATGTCAATCTTGTGATTGAAATTTAACTTTCCATTAAAAAAACTGGTCCTTTATTTATCAAAAGTTGATCGGCAATCAATGTCATTGATGGGTGTAACAATAATCGTTTCTTAGAAGTAAGTCTTGGCAGTTTCATCCATGGTATTCTATAAAGACAGTTTCCAAGTCTGCACAAGTCAAAAGCTTGGTCTAATGTCTTGATTTTTTGATTTTTTTCATTTGTTGTAGAAAAGCCAAGAATCAAAATTCACCCCAGCCTGATATCCCAATTGACCCTAATGAACCTACGTACTGTTTATGTAAACAGGTGAGTTACTGTATGCTCTGTTTCCCAAATGGAGCCTTTCTTACTTGTCCAGTAGAGATTTCTTCTATTATCTAGTATTGTACATGTAAGTTTGTAAACAGGAGATCTTCTGTTGCATTTACATAACACAATCAGAAGATATAACTAGCTAAAAACTAGTATGAGCTGCGTCAGTGTTTCTAATGAAACAGTAATACACCGTGAATACACGGTGTATAATTTACCTTTTTATCATTACTCAGTGTTAACACAATCAGAGTGGAATTAATGTAACACTTGGTCAAGGGGGTCCAATTGCCCTATTTCACTATATTTTTTAAACGCAAAGGATCATGGTCGTTGGAGAAGGTCAAATCGACACAAATTCACCGAAAATTGTTCTAAAACCGTATCAATCCATGAAGAGAAGAAAAATAGCCAGCAAATGCTCAGAATATTTTTTAGTTCACATTAACACACATTATATCTGAAAACCAGGCCATTTTAGATTAAACTGTTTCGCTAGGAGCAAATTTTGTCGAATTTACTATTGGGTTTGGCGATTCTATCCCCCACATAAACAAGCAGTGACGCCATACTGAAATAGGGCAATAAGCCTGAAGCGAGATGACGTTTTACCCCCGTACTCCCTTCACACAGTGCTTTTGTCTTTAATTATAACTATTGTTCCTGTGTTCTCTAAGAAATCAAAAATTTTAATATGAAAGAATGTTAAAAACTATTATGGTATAGAGTTGGGGGGTAAAACGTCATCTCGCTTCAGGCTTATTGTAACTGAATTTACTGAGGCCAGAGGAATAGAACTTTCCAGTTTGAGCAACCATGAAACAAAATTGCTCTTATTTGAGGTTGGACTTGATTTTTACATATATGTAATTTTACTGTCTTTTTTTTCACGTTAATCTTTTAATTGCAGCCATGGTTTTCTGTGCGCAAGAAACACATGTTTTATTCTTCTTCTAACTGTTTCTTGTTTATGGATAGGTTTCATTCGGGGAAATGATTGGATGTGACAACGACAATGTAAGTTAATAAAGAAAGGAGTTTAAAAAATACTTTGTTGTACAGTATGTGGGCCTACAGTAACAACATTTTCTTTTGGGGTATTGTTATGTAAATTGTCAACCCGAAATAAAGCAGTGACAAATTCTACTGTTAAAAAATGGCTGACACATTAACATCACAATCATGGTAATGTTTATAAACATTATATTTAGAGTACGTATACTTTACCTACAATAAGAGATGCATGAATCCAAATTAATTGATGCACATGACATTCTACTTTCTGACATTTTCTCTAGTACTTAACTGCAAACTTTTCAATGAAGCAAATGAAGTATCTGTATGCGACAGGTCAAAATTTTGAACATTAATCTTATTGGTTGTTTCTGTTCCTCAGTGTCCAATAGAGTGGTTCCATTTCCAGTGCGTTGGACTCACTAACAAGCCAAAAGGAAAATGGTAAGTGCATGGTAGAAGCAGAGCAAATTGCTTGTCTTGAAAAACTTTCTATCTTATACATCTAGCATATTTCATGCTTTTTGTGTCTTCTTGAGGGAAATCAGGGTATCAAAGGAGTACTACACTTGTCTCTCACCTCTGGGATTAGGGTTTGTTCCTGGACTCAGCATCACATGTCAGCAGAGTTAATGTCAGAGATCTCTATATTGATGTGAAGGTTTTTTTACTGGGTTTTCCTGTTTTCCTTCTTTTCCAAAACCAATCAAACTAAATTTTGATTCAATTTATGAGTTAGCCTTGCTCTGTCTTTGCTCAGCCAAGATGTTGTTTCAGGGTTCTATCTGTTAAGTTAACCCTACCTTGTCTTTGCTCAGCCCAGATGTTGTTTCAGGGTTCTATCTGTTAAGTTAACCCTGCCTTGTCTTTGCTCAGCCCAGATGTTGTTTCAGAGTTCTATCTGTTAAGTTAACCCTGCCTTGTTTTTGCTCAGCCCAGATATTGTTCCAGGGTTCTATCTGATAAGTTAACCCTGCCTTGTCTTTTCTCAGCCCAGATGTTGTTTCAAAATGCAAAAATTTAAAGAATAACAGTATTGTTCCTTTTGTAAAAGGGTTATTCTTCAGGGGCGTAGTGAAAATGGGTGGGGCAAGGCCCCCTTCCTCCCCCAAAAAGCCATACACTTTCCTTTTTTCTTTGTGAAATGTTAATGAGGTTCAAATTTCTATTTATTTAATAGTTTTTTCTTTTGATATGACTCTAAGTTTTGCACCTTATCTGGGTGGGAAATCATTCATTGTCCTCCATATAGTTGAGATCTCACTTCGCTCCTCTCACTCTTACTATGTTTATAATAAGTTAAAGATCAGTATTTGGATATGTATGTTTGTTTTTTTGGCATTTAGGTACTGTCCAAAGTGTACTCCCCAAGACCGAAAAAGAGAAAGAAATTATCCCAGATAAGTCAGATAGTTGTGGTGTGGTTTGATATCTAAGCTTTACGTGTACATTGATATGAAGCTTCAAGTAGAAGACGTTTAGTAAAACCTATTCGGATAATATTACCAATCACTCTTTGTCCAAAGAAACAATCCAAGACACGTGTCTGGTGTATTGGTGCGGAGTCAGACAGTACAGTGGCAGATCCAGAACGATTTCAAGGGGGTGACTGTTACTTAGAAAGGCAGCACATAGCATCCTTTTTAGGTCTTACTTTATCCTTAATTCTTTTTTTTTTTCAATCCAAAGAGTCGACTAATCGACTAGTCAACCGATTCACCTCCATCTGGATCTGCCCTTGCAGTGTAAGACAGTTTTAGTTAACTACTTAAACAGTCTTAACGACCTTTCGGACTCAATAATGATAAGTGTACTCCAAGGAAAAATTGATCATAAATTCAGTTTTGCAGTTGGAGACATTTTGTGGTGTATCTGCACATTTTTCGCTGAAAAAGATTCTTAAACGGAAATAACAGTATATAAAAAGTAATGTTGCAACTTCAGTAGACAGTTTTTACTTGTAAAATGTTAAAATACTAACAATAATAATATAATAATCCAAGATAAACCTTAGTTTGTTATGATTATCTAGTTCATTACCAACTTCAATATAGCAAAGATGTAAACCTTTTTTTCAATTTAAAGTGAAATATTATGATGCTATTGAGAGACATTCTCTTTGTGTAAATTTATTTACTTTATTTTCAATAGTTGAAACTGATAGTATATTAAAAAGTAGAGTGATAATAACTAGTGGCTACTAGTTGGGACTCCGTTGGTGTGTTGAATACGACAAGTGAGTAAGAATAACTAGTGGTTACTAGATGGGACTGTGTTGGTGTGTTGAATACGACAAGTGAATAAGAATGACTACTACTAGTGACTACTGGTTACTAGTTGGGACTGTGTTGGTGTGTTAAATACAACAAGTGTATAAGAACAACTAGTGGTTACTAGATGGGACTTTGTTGGTGTGTTGAATACGACAAGTGAATAAGCATGACTAGTGGTTACTAGTTGGGACTGTGTTGGTGTGTTAAATACAACAAGTGTATAAGAACAACTAGTGGTTACTAGATGGGACTGTGATGGTTTGTTGAATACAAAAAGTAAATATGATAAAGGCCTTGTTACACGTTGAAACTTTTAGTATATACAAGTTGCGTGCAATGGTGTGGCGAGTCAAGTTTCAAGTGGGTATTACACGGCACAATCTTATCCTAAAACTTGTTAGCGACACAGATTTCGGTTGCACAAGAAGAAAGCAGTTTTACTTTTCGTGGAACTTTCTCGCGACGAAAGTTTCACGACGCCTTTCCTTATCATTAACTTAGTTGCTAAAATGTAGTTTTGAAGACAAAACGACGCAGGTAGTTTTTAATTTTAAGCAAAACTTCTATAAATGTAACTTTCATATAAACAACAAAATTTACTAAAAATGACAATTGACGTTTGTAAATGTATCTTACACACAAAACAGTTTGGTACAGGTAGCAAACGGATTTTGATTTAACGGAGTTTAAAGGTAATGAGACATTTCTCCAGCCTTCTCAGTAGTAGTGTGCTTTTGGCATGCATTGGAAAAACTGAGGTCTCTACCTCTTTTCTATACTTTTTCCTATACTAGCCCACCCCCCTTCCCGTTTCCATACACACCAAGTCCTATACACGCCCTGCCTGTTGGTGTACCAATTTTGAAATGTTACCCTGTTACGTACCCTCAAGGTTCCATTTATCTGTCGACCATTGAAAAACTAGTGTCTCTTTCTTTAGAAAATGTTTGTCAACTCAGTCTTCGATAAAGTAAGCTTTATACGACGTGGTAGCCTTGAACCCATAAGGCCTTTCGAGGTGATAAACCGAAAACAAAAAATGTGCAGTTAATGGTTCAACTGTGAGAATTAATGGAAGGGGACTTGATACAATCGCTTGGCCTCGACTCTTCCCTGATACCTTGATCTTATACGAACGATCCGAGCAAGCGTTGGCAATCTCAAATGCTGAAGTACGTGCTGAATGCGTCCTTGTTATCATTACCAAGCAATTTGCGTGCAGATCAGTGAACTTGACCTTAGCACCGAAATTCTTACTCCTTGCCAAAATCTTCAAAAGGTGTTTCCTCGAATCCATTTTGATCCATTGACGATTTCCATAGGAACTATATTTTCTCGACTTGCAGACACATATCGTGAGGTTGACGGTGTCGTCTTTACATGTATCAAAACGTCTGTAAATGCTTATTCTACTTAGGTGTGTCAATGTTACATTATTGTTGGATTGTCTTGGTATCTTAGGGTATTCTATTTGCACCTCGAATATCTCGGACTCAGGAATGACAATCAAATCCATCGTCACCAGATAATTATCACCCACTGAGCGTCGTCGTATTTTCTCAAACGTTTTTCCAGCGAGTCTTTGGCAATTTCCAAAGCCGCCCCATGAATCTATGTTTTCCATGAATTCGGTTTGTATCCTATTGTTTAAAGTGCCTAGGGCAAGCTCAGCAAGCCAAGTCAACGAAGGATGGTTAGTTGAGAATGTTTTTTCCCATCCATCGCATTTACAAACGGCCGCACTTCTCATGGAAATATCAGAACACGAACGATTGGATGGAATTTCTGCGAAGATGCCTTCCAGCTGTGTAGACCCCGAATTTTCTTTATCTAGATTTCCAATGGAAACAAGTGTATGGTGCAACTCTAATGTTGTCAGAAGTCTTTTCTGGTTCGTTATCAGTGCTTTTGTTCTGTGGTACCCAAGGAACGAAGCGGTCTTTTCAGGTAAAATGGCAAAAAGCAAAGCGTCGTAGATTTCGGCCCTTCCATCCATCGTACGGAATGCGTATGTGGTAGTTTTGGGTCCATGATCAGAAAGGACGAGAGTTAAGGTATTCTCCTGTCCAGCCATATTAAGGAAAAATTCAGAGAGTCTTTGATCCAATTGTTTAATCCTAGTCCCAGAGATTTCATGCCCCGTATTCAAGTGTGTATGTGCAAAAATAGGTGTTTTAGACGTCCGTTTCTGCTTAAAGACTTTCTCATTATAATCTAAGAAGTACTCTGCAAAGACTTTTCCACCGAAGCAAATCTTCTTCGGCCGGTTGAACTGGTTCGTTATGTTGTACCTTTGTAATGCCTTGCAAGAAAAATGAGACAGTCCAAAATCGTCAATGTAGTATTTCTCGACTTGTTTCTTAAAAGTCTTCCATCTAGAACTAAAGTCTTCCAGATTCTGAGGTTGTTTTCCTTGGAAAAGATTATCCGTGTAAAGTGACCCCCACTCATCATACCAGCAACTGTCCTCTTGCAAAAGGGTGTGGTATCCTTTCGATTTCAGTATGCTGAATAAATATTCGATCTCATAGTGCTGTTTTTTGTGCGCTTTATAATCCGAGTCAGTCTTCCCGCTCATTAATGTTCGAATATTATGAAACGTGTAATCGGCCATGCTTTGAAACAACTCAAAATCCAGGACCGTCGCTTCCAATCTTGGATCGTGGACGATTCTGCGAAGTACTTCGACTGTTTTTGGTAATGATCGATAAAAGTGCGCCCGTGATACAGAATCCAAAGTAATGATGTTGAAATTGATTAACGGCAGTTCTAATAATGGCCCATTTGGTATTTTTGGCTGGAAAATGATTAACTGTTCCAAAAACAATGATGTGGTACTGCATCCCAAGCACTTGCATTTGAGAAAGCAGAAGTTAAATCCATTTTCGCTGCTAGATTTTGAGTAGTCATAGACCAAACGTTCTAGTTCTTTGTTAGACTTCATAAGGAAAGCTGTGTTATCATTCGTGACGATCCCATAATCAGGATCCACGCCCGACAAATAAACATAGTTGTCCGTGCACGGGGACATATCGCATTCTATCGTACCATCTTCTTTAAAGTTGCATATCTCATTGGCAATCCCCTGTTTTTCGCACGTTAGAGGCGACAGATGTACATTATATGCCATATATGCCTCTTTGCATGCTTTTTCACTTGGTGTCTTGGGTCTGCAGCGTACTTCATTGAGACTGTCGTTTAACCAAGGGTTTACTTTACTTTCTCGAATTCCCAAAAAGGGGCAAATACTAAATGGAAGGAGGTGAGAATTTGGCTCATCATTTAGAAGAGTTTTTAAAATTTTCTTCTTATTTTGGATGTCCAATTTTTGCTCCGCTTGCGACTGATGTTCTTCTAAATTATTGTTGTCGTGGAACATAAGCGCATTAGGATCGAAGAAACTTTCATTGATGGAATTGTCTAATGTTTTTCTTTCTTGGTCGGCATTACTGAATTCAACCATATCTTTCGCATCAGCCATGGTAGAGAAGTTGTTCGTATGATCAGCAACAGTCCCTTTACCATTCTGCTGGGCTTCTTCCTTTACTGAAGGATCGCTGTTTACATGTTGCATTAAAGGACTTGGAGTATCAATGTTCCATCCATGTTCATGGTCATCTTGTAACCAATTATCACTGATCCCTTTTTGGTCCTTCCTTTCAGTAGGTGAGTCGGTCGAAGAAGGAAGCTTGTCTAAATCAGGTTCGTTTGCCAAAGCTGGATTCGTTGATGTTTGGCTCTGAGAATCTAACTGGACTTGTTGGCTTTGGATGCTGCTTTTCTGTTCCTCGTTTTCATCTACAGCTTCTTTGTTGTCATCTAAATAAAGATTTTAGAATAAAAAGAATAAGCATTATCATAGCATCACCCTAGCTATGTACCACTGTAAACACTTCAGCATAGTTTTCACGAAGACTGATGAGTGATCATCTATAATAATGATGAGTAGGACTTCTAGATTATTGGATCGATTAAAGTTGTTGTTACACAAAACGGCGCAACGACGATTTTACGTGCAACAATGTTCGAAAAATTTTTTCCCGTGTAACATGGTGGTGCTTTTACGATTTTTAACGATGTTTTGTTGCGGCTATATGTGGCAGGTTCTTGAATTACCTTCAAAACTCACAACATGAGTTGCTGCGCGCGCCATGTTACACGTAGTCTCCACCGTTACACGAGGCCAACTTTTAAGGCAACAATGTTGCGTTAAAAATCTTTTCGTGTAACATCACTTAAAAACGTTCTGTCCTTGAATACACGACTGTCTTTGTCCTATGCCGATTATTTAATTGCTTAACAAAGAGTTGTTTAGTCTCCCCCACAGCCGCTTTCAGTGTCGTCACGCAACGCTTTCTCCCCTGAGTTGCGGCTACTCAGGGGAGAAAGCGTGGCGTGACGACACTGAAAGCGGCTCTGGGGGAGACTAAGAGTTGTTATGACCACGGTTGAGAGTAGATATTCGTATGAATATTAAAACCTCGTGGTACGGACTTGCCGTGCCGTAAACCTACAACAGTGTCGTGTCAGAACGTTGTGTCTTCGATCGGTCGAACGATAATCTTGTGAGATTGGTTGTCGTGACTGGGCCACGGTGAACCGTTACTTTTTAGAGTGACATGCTTACCTCGTTTTGCGTAGCTTTGGACTTGGTAGTTTTGGATGTTGAGGTAATCTTTGCTTAAAATGGTGTAAATGAACATTCCGATCACAGTCGCCAGGAGAAAAAAGAACTACAGAAACAAAAAGGCAACTGTTACATTAATTTTTTGTATGAGCTGCATTTCTCCACACAAATCAGAACAAAAACTCCACCGACACTTACATATAAAATTGTATTTTCTTTAGCCGACGCTGAATTTATTTGTTTCGTATCAGACAAGAAAAATAATTTTAGCCGGATCGTGAAAACATACACGAAAAAGAGCATACAGTCATGTAGTCGTAGACAGATATGGAATGTGTCTATAGTTTTAAAAATAAAGGGTTTATGGTGGATCGCTGAACAAATTAAGTACTTTACTTTCACCAAAACAATACTAACAGGCATATTCAATATCCTATCCAGGCAAATTACTTGTAAGAGAATAATTTAACATTTGTCACTACAGCTGGAAGGGAAACTTTGGGAGAAAGATCAGACTCCCTGGAAGCGAACCATTGACCTGGCTTCCGGGTTTTCCTTTTAGGCAATGACAAATGTAAGATTATTCCATACTTCCTCCTAGTTTAAATCCTAATTTCGAATGACTTTTTATTTACCCCACAAAAGGAGCCAGAATTTTTAAACAGGAATATCCAATGTATAATAATTAAGTAGCATTATAGCTTTTGGTTTTTGCTGGTACGTGGTGTTCCTTGCACAATGTGGCATGTTAAAACCCACCAACTGAAATGTTTTCAAAACAGGTTCTCACGTGGCCAAAATTTGTGCACGAAAATTAAAATCTTTGATCACGTGTGAAAAGTTTAGGAACTGAAGAAACCGTTTACATCATGTGACAGAAGTGTATCTGTAAAGTTAGAAATATCGAAATTTATATTCTTGGTGTTTTCTTCGTTACTTTAACAGCTTTTTAAAATTGAGATCAGCTAATTTGATTGACATTTAATTTGCTGGTGTGATTGTCAGAAAATCACGATTTTCCTTTCAAACACTTACACGAGTTTCACGATTTTCCTTTCATACAAATTTTTTGATTTTAAAAAAAAAGTACCTTGCTATCGTGAAATTCACTCTCTGATATGATAAAACACATTGTCAGTGAATTTCTAAGTTATGACACTTTACAATGAAGTTAGTACTACGCTATATAATTTATAATCAAAATATCTCGCAGATTGTATGTATTTCCATCGAAAGCTATTTAGTTATGACCTTGGTAATTCTTGGGGGTGCAACCAAATGACTTAAAATCCCTCGAGATATAAATATCAATGAATTAAGCAGCCGCCATGTCAGTTGATCTAACGAGAGAAGCTATTAATGAGGAATGCTTTGTAAGTTGTCGTCAACTAATATGGCGTCTTTGAAGTAACCCTCACCCCAAGAATACGGTACCTTTCTACGATAAAACAATCCGATCATGTTGACTGCAGTATGTCCTCTCGCTATTTTCAGTCTCAACGTAATCGATTCTCAGAACCCTTTGTAATCAGTTTTCCAGGTACGTTCCCACGTGGCTGAATTTCTTTCATCTTCATGTCTTTTTTAAAAACTTCAAAAAGAAGTCCATTGGTTTGTTTCTTTATTTTCTCTCTTCCTTTGGTATTATTTGTTGGCATGAGTCTCCGTCCACTCAACGAAAAGAATATTACTTAATTAACGATGTGTACTGCAGTGTTAAAGTTTCTCGCTGAGCCAGATTTGCCACAGAACGGTCGAGTTTTGCCGGTGTTCTGTGAGGTCATTTTTACATGGCAGGTTTCTCTACTTCAAGAAGTAGACTGGAATGTTAAAGCACCTGTTGTTTGATATATAGTCACCATGGAAACGTGAAGCCCATGAGCTACATAAAACAATTAAATGAATAACCCAAACGAATGATTAAACTGGGTAGCAAAGATTAAGATTCACACCTAAATAATATTCATATTCAAATAAACTAAGTTATTTTCTTTATGGAATTTAAAGTATAATATAAAGATCATTGAGATTGTATGATTAAAATTTAAGATTTAAAGACTATTATTTGAAACAAAGGCTCGTCCACCGATTTTTCGGATTTGTCTAAAAAGTTTCGGTCGTGAAGCTAACTTGGTCCGACAGTAATATGTGTAAATTATTGCATGGCTATTATAGAAAACTTTTATTCACATGGGAAAATATATGATGCTTCATTGAATCTTGGTTACGCATTGAGTTTGCTATACCTACACATTACTGACGAACCGGCGTCGCAGTATCACAACCGTAACGTTTTTAATGATCAGTGACATTTGCAACCCTTCGTTTCAAATAATTGGATGGCTAGTTATTGAAGAAAGCAATGTCAAACGTTTAAGACGTTAGATCACTTTGTCGACCCCTCACCGCATTCTGATCATCCCCCCTCTTTACCTTGGTGATGATGATAATGATGATGATAATAATGATGCTATAATAATGATGATGATGATAATGATCGATGATGTTAAAATGATTTTATTGAGGTTTCTTTGGATTTACGTTTACATACATTTTTTAACAAATTTCGAACCAATCACTATCGCTAGCTCAATGTAATTCTTTGTTTTGACTTATACGAGCGTAGATCTTTTCAAGAGTCAGGAGTAGGTCTTTCCGGTTAGTATAGCGCTCTTCAAGTCAGTCGCTTTCGGACCTTTTGACCATTTGACCATGGAAACACTGTATTGGCAAAAGTGCAAGGACGACTTTGACAGAAGAAAATACATTTTGGGCCATTATCCATGAAATGGATTACGCTTGAAAACGTTCTCTCGATGTTGTAGTAAGGAGCTTTAAATTTCTATCACGTGATGTTCAGGGTGGCTTATTTGTTCGAGTCCAAAAACAGCAAAAACACCTGCTTTTTACCTGCTTATTCTCTTAGTGCTATAACTCGTATATTGTTCTTTCTAGTATCTAATTAACGTTACATATAGCTGCAGTGAAATCAAAAGGAGTGCCTTTTATTAGAAGCTCAACAACAAAAAGCCTGACATGTGAAATAAGTACCCCGAAAAACAAAGAGAAGCGGGCAAAAGAACTCTTTAAGGATCAAAATGATGTTGGCAAGAAGAAAACTTGTAAGACAACTAATCTTAAAAGGCCTATAACTGCAATGTCTAGTAAACGTTGCAGTGATTGTTCAATGGCTTGCGTGTGTTAATCAATGATTATGTCGACATCGATTATCGACAGATGTAAAAGTTACCGCTATATACACTCAATTAGCCAACTTTTGATATTCTGGTTGAGTTGAATCAAGCAGAAAACAATCTGAGTCCAGGCAGGGGTAGGCAGGGGGGAGGGATTACCAAAGAATAATTACGATTACATTATTGTTTCCCCAGAGCCTCGACTCTAAATGGTTTGTATTTGACGCGCTCAAATATCAAAAGTTGTCTAATGCAAAATCATTCTCGGGTTAAAAGCAGAGAACTTAAGCTGAGCACGCATTTCAATTCAAAAAGATATCATTTTTGATTTTTTTTAAAGCTCGTTTCAAAGAATCAGAAACCTTCTCAAAATCATTTTGGATGGGATGACATGAAAACACAACTTGAAATTAAAAATCAGACATTTTCTCGATGGAATTTGTGGCATTTCCTTCGTATTTCCATGTTAGCCTCAGATTACATTCAAGATAGTTTTGAGAAGGGTCCATTGCGTTTGGTGCGAGATCCTTTAATCCGGCTAGCTTCGTGTTTACAAATCGCGAGTTCCGAGAGAGACAAGCAATTATAAATTCCGATCAAGTGTGTCATCTAAATATTCATGCATTTTTTCGTCGACCCGAGACTTGTGCTTCGTTCACTATATAGACACGTTTGGAATGGCATTGGGCACTTCCACTTAAAATTAGTGTATTTGAGGGAAGCATTAAATTATTGATTGCCTTTTTGGGTTTTCTAGGTTTTAATTTTTTTGGTGATTGTTACCACGACAGTAATGTACCTGTGGAAGATGCAAATAGATTCCAATACATATATCATTGGTAAGTAAATTTTTTTGGTTTTGAATTCCTTGATTTGAGATTAAGATTAAGATTTGAGATTAAGGTCTAATATGGCAAAACCCACGATAAATATGGGAAAACCCACGACTAAGGTTGATTCATAGTTTTGGGCGTGTGTCTTCCAGTTTCATTCAGCGGAAATAGCGCGTTACTGTCCTAGGTAATGATTTTTCATAGAGCGTAAATATAAAGTACGACTGACAAAAGAAATTTATATTAGAACCCTTGCAAAGGGAACGAGGTGTGGTCCAAAATGGGAAACATTACTTACAATGGCCGATAATGCTCCAGAACTTACCTTTGAACGACATCTTAGTTTTTGTACATCATCAAGATATCAATTTGTTCTGCCTAACGCGAATTTTATTTCCAACAGATACTCTTAAAAACGAAAAGAGAGATCACGATTCAAGAAAAGGTGCATCTAAAAGTGAAGGAACTTTTGCGCAGGCGTTACGTAATGTAAAACGTCAGCATGTCCAAGCAAGTGTCGTAACAAAACATGTCGATCTTTTCAAGGGCTTCAGAAATGTTTCAAAGAACATCCAAAATAATAGAATGAGCACCAGGAAACATGAGGACATCGAAGAACAAGTCAACAAAGAATGGAAAATACTTGCTGGAGATATTTCTGAGTCTGAGCGCAGTCTTCCGAAAATGAAAACCATAAAAGTTCGTCAAGTGCAGCCAAGCAAATCGAGGCTTTCTGTTTTAGAAAGACTGTTACAAAAGATGATGTCCGATACGAGGGCTCGACAACTTCCTAAAAGGTCCCCCTGTCCTTATATGGGACTGGGAAAAATTTATAACGAAACCGCACTGGACGACAAGATTGGCAAGGTCAGTTGTAAGCCTCGTATCTTAAAAGCCAAGGATTGCAAGATGGCAAATAAAGCATACAAAATACACAGTAAACGCTTAAAATGCACCGCAAACAAACCAATAAAAGACCTGTGCGTATTTCAAGAAACATGGCGGTCATCTCCAGATATGATCGCAAGTGTGCGTTGTGATCTTACTGCATGTGGAGGTAATCCTGTCCAAGTGATTAACATTGATCCGGAGTATGGAATTCTTGCTGATGTTGAGAGATGGTACGAGTTCTCCACGTCCGAAAGTTTGGAAGATTTTATCCCAGAATTTGTCGCTAAAAATTCTTTTAAAGGACTACGGTTTTGTTTTCTTCGCTGTCGACATCCAACGCGTGGTGGATACGTCAAACAAATTCTCTCCTTTCCACCGATAATGGAAAAAAACGATGATGCTCCGTTAAATAAGAATGTATTTAACTTTAATATTTTAGTTCTTGATTCAGTGTCCCGGGCGCACTTTTATCGCTCACTTCCCAAGACTGTAAAAACAATGAGGAAGATTGTACATGATAAGAGCAAGCAAGCAACGGTGCTGGACTTTGAGCTTCTACAAAGTGCTGCTCCTTATACGTTCTATAACATGAGATCCTTTATGTCAGGAAAAAGCCAACAGAATAAGAAGCAAGAGTATGGAATCAAGTTATTGTATGGACTACTTAAGTCGAAAGGGTTTTATACCATGTTACAAGAAGACAGTTGTTGGTATGATTCCTGGGGATCTTTATTCACCAACAACGTACACCAGAACAGCACTCCCAAATCTTTCGAAGAGTTTGCTCACCAATGGGATGTTTTCACTAATCGAGTGTTTGGTTATCATATTGATGATTTTGGCTTGTCGCATACTTCTTGTGACGTCTACAGGCAGTATGGAACTACGAATCCGTTCGAACAACCTAAAATCTGCTTCTCTGGTAAACCGTATGGAGATTTCTTCTTAGATTACACAGCAAAAGTGTTTCAAGCGTACAGGGATTCTGACAAGAAACGTCCCGTTTTTGCGTACACTCACTTAAATGTGGGGCACGAATTTTCAGGAAGGCGTATTCGACAAATTGACGAAAAACTGTCGTGGTTTGTCCGTTCGATGGCAAAAGACCAAGATACCTTAACTATAATACTTTCTGATCATGGTCCTAAGACAACGAAATTCTCGTTTAAAACAATGTCAGGGAGAGCAGAAATTTACGATTCCCTCTTATTCATGATCCTTCCGAAGAATGTTGCGGAGAAGCTTGAGATGCAAAGAACTCGTGCCTTATTTGTGAACCAGCGTCGTTTGATGACTACATTAGATCTCCATAAAGCTATTATTTCTTTTGTGAAATCATCAGAAGGCCATGATCGAGGGGTATTTACTGAAGTGTCTCCTCAACGCACATGCGCAAATTTAACAATGAAACACTCGGCTGTTTGTAAATGTACAAATTGGGAAACGCTGTACCCTGACGATTACGGGAATTTTACTTGGTTGGCAGAATTCGCCCTGGGTGAGATCAACAATAATATTCAGAAAGAGTTTATGTCTGGAGGAGACAATGTATACGGTTTTGGAAAATGCCAGCGATTGGTTGGAAATAGTTTTAAAAAGGTTCGACATCGTATGGAAGGAGATAAACACGTTGTGACCATGGATATCATAGTCAAACCAATGAATGAGATTTTCGAAGCACAGTTTAGATACTCGGAAAAATCCCGCGGGATCCGCGATCTTGCCGAGCTTAGCAGTCTTCGCAGAGTTAGTATTTACAGACATTTTAAACGCTGTGTCGACCCTCAAGTTCCTCTGGACCATTGTGTTTGTAACAACAAAACGAGGCGGAAAACTCGGGGAACTTCTTGGAAATGGATTGAGGCCAAAGCAACCTCAGATATCCTAAATATCATAAAACGCACACGAAGCTTTAAATCTAAGACATCAGTCAAAAATCTACACGGTAACTGTTTATTGTTGTTGTCAAGGAGACATAAGAGAACATTAGTTTATGAAATAGCCAACGCCTGTTCTGATCGCAAGTATAAAGTTCGCATTGCAGGACGAAGTAAGGGGGCATTTATTTTAACACGTGACTTACCGATTTCGATATCATTACGTCCGCTAACCATTCATTTCCTGTTCGGTATTTATCATTTCAAAAAGCCATACAATTTTTATGTGAAAACGTCTTACAAAGTCTTCATAGAAAAGTAAGGTAACATCAAGGAAAGAATCATTTTACAGAAATTTCTTAGTTATTTTGTAGCTATTTAATTAAAAAAGTTGACTTTTGCTAATAAAAGGCGAGTTTCGTACATGAACCGTGAATTCTGATACTGACCCTGAGTATTGTCTGTGCGGTCCTGTGGGCTTACAAGACTTTACAAATTACTTCATGGAATGAAAGTAAAATCCCGGTTATAAGCCCTGGGCTAATATACTCATTTGTAAGGATTTCTTCATGGGCTTATACCCGGACAGGGTTTATAACCGAATATTATAACCGGTTAGGGCTTATAAACGGGGGGGAGTTATAACTGGGGAGGTGGTTATAACTGGGGAGTGGCTTATAATTGATATTGTACGGTAGCTTTCGCACTGTTCATTACTCAGCAACGGGAATCTGCAATCTCAGCAACGASGTCTGTCTAAGAAAATAAGGGATCTTAAATCTATGAGTAGTATAGGGAATGGGGGTTCCAGCGCAATTTCAACACGGGCAAACCCCATGTCAAAAATTCACCTACGGAAACAACCCATTCCAAGTGTGGTTTATAAGAGTATATTTTTGCCCATTGTTTCGGCAACCATTTTCGGCTACCTTTTCTACTCCCGCACGGGTATTCCTCGTAGACACATTTTTGCACAAAGTAGTATTTTTTTGTGTCCACTGCGCTGGTAGCAAGCACCAGGAATGTCCGTATGGGAGTAGGTGGAGGCGAATTGCCTCTCCTTTTCGTATGGACCCCAAAACGAGTCCCTTCTACTATCTACGTCGTGGTAGCTGCGCCAAAGTTGCTACGTAGCCCGGTATGCGAACTCTTTAGAGGCCTTCCAAGATCTCCAAAAGTATTTGCGTTGTCCTTTGTCTTCCTAGCATGTAGCCGGCTATGCCTAGAGCTATGTAGAGATACATCTATATACCTATGGATCCACGGAATACCGCTATGGATCCATAGGTACCTAGCTATGTTCGAACCGTATTCGTAGATATATATGGCAACACCCAAAATACTATCCGAGGAAGAAATCGCAGGATTGTTGGAAGATAGGAGAAATGGAGTAGGACTGCAAAAGGTAGCCAAAAAGTACGGCATAGGCATACCAAAGATACGCAGGATAGAGCGAGAGAATRGTTTGGAGGTAGCGATTCCCGAGAAACCACCTACTACGGATTTGCAGAAACATTTCCTAGAAGTGCAGGATTCCTTTGCTATAGTCCTGGACGATCTCCAAAAAGCTAGAGAAGAACTCCGAGACGCAAAGGAGGAATTGCTAGCCAAGATGGACCAGGAAGACGACATGGGGGATTCGTTCGAGAAAATAGACGCAGAGGATCTGTCCGACGAAGTAGAGGAAGTATCCACGAAAATAGACTGGCAAATAGCCGGCAATGTGCTATTTGCCGCCTTGGGCATTGCTGCCATCGTTTGGGCGCGCATGCAACCACCCAAAGTAGTCTACTACAGACATCCAGCGGAGGATACGAAACCGCAGAGAAATTCTAGGATTCCGGAGATGGAGTAGAGACGTGCACCAGTCTGTCTTTCTTCTTTGCTTTGGTGGTCTTTTCTCTACCTATCTTGCAGTACAAAGGCGGCTGCGATGTCCAGTCTATCTTTTGCTCGTCCAAGAAGTGTCCCCAGACTGGAGTAGTAGCATGTTCTACCGTGCAGCCCTCCAAAACGCACTCCGAGCATTTTTCGGAGAGAAAGAGGATTGTCCTTTCTTTTTTTCTGTACGTGGTTTTGGCGTATTTCCAGCATTGGTATTCTCCTTCCCGCATGTGCAAAGCCTGCACGCATTCTTTGTTGGGTGGCGCCGGCACTTCCAGTTAGTCTTTCTGGATTTTTGGGAGGGTCTATTTTCCTAGCCAACTCGTAGTACGTATCCAAACCGGGTCCTTCCGGCACGAAGACAGTTGCTACATTGTTTTTCCACTCCACCAATATTTCTTCCCCGGGAATAGCTATGCGTATGTTGCCGTTGACTTCGAACTTCCCAGCCGCACACGCTTCCAATAGGGCTTCTGTGGCCCATGCTACAGAAGTTTCTCTATTCCTTCGCAATACTACGCGGTGCCCTCTTGCCAACCAGTTGGCATCCAAGTCTCTGGGGATCGCATATCCTAGTATCTTGTAGTCTCCTGCAGGTATTTGCTCCATCCTATGCACTTTGGCCCTAGGCGTCTCTGGGCCAAACGGGCTTTCCTCTCCAAAGAACAATCTACGCAAATTGTCTGTCCTTCTGGAAATCCTATCCAATGTTTTCCTGTACTTTTCCAACTCTTTCTCTATTTTCTTCCTATCCTCTTCCTTCTGCCGCAGGATGGACTGCCTTTGCTCCGACAGTTCTGCGTGGTATCTTCTCGTGGCTTCTACCCACTCGTCTCCTTCCAAATCGTCCCGTATGTCTTCCAATCGCTGTTGTCGTTTTCTTTTGGACAGGAAGGAAATCCTGCGGTCCGTAGGTACTTCTAGTATTCCAAAGAGACTCTTTTCTATGCCTATCTTTTGTGCCTTCTTCGTGCGCCAAACCCACTCCACGTGTTCCGTAGTTGGGAGAAAGTCTGCGATAGTAGGAGGATCTTTGTGCACTCTGGTGGGTTTGTTAGACTCCGCCAATACCGTGGGGGAATCTTTAGTGTAGCAGCGTAGCGGAAGTATGTCCACAGGGTCCAATCCTCGCACATCTATGCGGAATATAGGGCATTTGCGCAGACCAAACTCTGCTATGGTCCAAAGTACGCATTGTTCTCATTTTTCGTTGCCTCGCATGCGTATGCCGGCTATCCTACCTGTCTCCGCATGGCAGTACCAAGCTAGGAAGATTTCTTTTGTTTCCTCGCAGCAAATACACAAACATCTATCCAAGTGTTCCGCGAGTGCCAACCACATATTTTTGGGTGGTTGTACTACGAATATGTCTGCTAGAGGTTCTATAGTCTCCGCAATAGCATTTGTGTGTTCTTTGGAGAAATCCCTGCCGTAGATGGATATTTCCACTCTGCTGCATCCTCTTTTTTGCACGTCTGGGTGCAGGAATGTCCTACGCAGGTGGTCGTTCGGACAATCCACGTACTCTGCCAACTTTGCTCCTACTGGATTCTGCACTTCTCCAGCCTCGAAGTTGGATACTATTTTGTTGTATATTTTCGTGCGTTTCCCGTCTTCCATCCAAGTACAAACATGCCCGCCTACCTGGTGCGTATTGTCTAAAATAGTACCCTTGCGTCCCCCCAGTTCTCCCTGGTGTTCGTAGCCCAGCTGTCGCAATCTGCGCACCAAAGCTTTTCTATCCAAAGTACCGGAGAAATCCTGTGTGTAGTCTACGGAATAGATACCATATCCGTGCGCATCTAGCAAAGTAGCAAACTTGGGTATCTTTTCCTCTACGGTTTCTATGGATAATTCCGAGGTGTCTACTTTGGCTACAAATACCGCTGCAGGTTCTCCATGCAAGCTGGACCACTTGGCTGCCATATGGGAGACGCGATCTACTATTTTTCCTTGCCTGCAGCTGTGTACTATTTGGACATGTAGGAACGTACCAAAGGCTTCCTGTGCCGCAGTGGATATTTTGGAKACCAGCGTYTTTGCGTTTCTGCATATGCGTCCATACATGTCGTTCTCTGCGACAAATCCATAGACAAACACATCGTCTACGAACGGTGGTAGCCCGGATAGCGGCTGCAGGCTGGTAGTACCTTCGTTTCCGCGCAAATAGTCGCACTTGGATATGTCGGGTAGTAGATTCCCGTCGTATGCGTTGTCCAACAGCAAATGTGCTAGCACCCTATTCTTCGCACGTATACCCATCTCTTGCAATGTTGCCGAAATACTCTTTTGCTCTTCCATGTATATATAGGCGTCGAAGGTTTTTGGCTACTAGTAGAAGGGGAACGAATCGTTCCTCTCTATCCACGTCGGCGTTTCTCCAGCGGTGTCGCGATCCACGACCCCTTGCTACGTCGGAATCCAAGAGCGGTGTTTCGAACCACGGACATTCCTGGTGCTTGCTACCAGCGCAGTGGACACAAAAAAATACTACTTTGTGCAAAAATGTGTCTACGAGGAATACCCGTGCGGGAGTAGAAAAGGTAGCCGAAAATGGTTGCCGAAACAATGGGCAAAAATATACTCTTATAATGAACGTTAATTCCAAGCGGTAATTGCCTTCAGGCATTAAGTCGATTATCTTTTCAGCCCTTGCGTCGTCCATAGTCTCGTCCGTATCTCCTTCCATAAATGTCGTGAAGGCGAAGTCGGCGTCCAAACGATCCAATACCTGGGTTCGCAACTTGCGTACAGTTTTGTTTTGAATGCTTTGGATGGCGTCCATCTATATCTAGGAAATATTTTAACCTTCGTTTGCGACACAAATATTTTAACTTAATACATAGATTTCGCAAACCGCAGCAGCAGTAAGGGAATCATCGCGTGGGCAATACCCGGGCCTCCCGGTACCCCCTCCGCGAGTCCCTCTTACTGCTGCTTCTATGACATCAATAATGATTATGGGAGCCAAAAAGTATAGAAGTAAGTGATTTTTATCATGGCTGCTTGAATTAAAAGCAATCCGTTCAAAAATATTCCGTTCAATGATGCCAACTGAAAAGTGAAACCCTTCTTTAGTTTTACAACAACAAATTTGTTCCATTTAGACCACTTGTCATTATAATCAGGGGCATGCAGCCCCCACTAGCGCCACAATTACTGTTACGCCGGCTTTTTTTAAGCGATGCTAATGTCTTTCTATACATTTCTTCTTTTGGGACACCACCCGAATGAGAAAAGACTGAAGAGCTAGATGTAGTACTGATTCATCAAGATGTAGCATTTCTATCCCTGTGATACGCTGACATGCCAGGGTAAATTAATACACATACGTTATGATATATAAGTTTTAGGATTTCCGGGCTACAGTTTTGAAACAAAATCCTGTCTGCTATAGGACGTTTTCAGGGAAGGTGGTTTCCCAATTGCATGTCTCCCTCAGTTGCTTAGTTCGTGATGGGGCTCGCTTAGTTCTTGAACTCTGTTCTTATGCAGAATTTTTGTATTGTTTGTGCCTTCAAAGAATGAAAGATAGTGCAAAAATGGAAATGGTTGGGAGAAATCGGGTTGCCTGTGCATGTGGTTTTAAATTCCGGAAACACATGACTTATTCAACCAATGATAATCGTCATTAAAAATTCTTAGATTCACTTCCGGTCACGGGATGGAATCGTGTGATGTGATTGGTTGAAGTATTGCACGCTCGACTTGCTTTTACAACAACATACATAACCCAAACACGAGAACCTGTCGAAAATCATGCACGTCGCGAGTTCCAATACAATCGAAAGTCATGATTTTTATCTTACTTAACGAATTCTAGAACCGCTCATTTAAAAATTTGCCCATAACGAATGAAATTTGGACTTTTTTCTGGTCAGTTTTATAAGAATAGCGTGTTTTGAGATTTTTCAAAATGGCGGAGTTTGTTTGTAAAGGAATGAGATTCGGGTAACTTTGCGCCTCTTTTGCTTAGTATTCCCAAACACTTGCCTTTCGGTTGAGAGATTTATTTGGCTTAAATGGGTACAGGAAGCTCGTTGGTACCAAATGGAGATTCTGATGATGATTTGGCCGAGGATGAATTAGGCGAAGAGCTTGGAGTTCTAAAGAATATTCCCGTCGAATGTTCGGCTCCGCAACGAAAGTCTGTGAGTCTCACAAATCCTCTTCGTTCGGTTGGGTCTTTTGGAAAGAAGAAAAGTTCAAGTTCCAAAGGAAAGATTATCACGAAAAGCTCAAGTCTGCGTTCTGCTCTTTCGTTTGACTTCGATAGCGAAGTTGATAAACTTCGAAAAGAGTACGAATTCTTTCGTTTTAGTAAGCAGGACGAAGTAACGGAGTTGCAAGTGGCGAAACAAAAACTACAAAGTGAGAACAGAAGACTTAGAGGTGAACTAAAAGTTCTACAGGCAACTTGCCTCAAGCTAAGAAATGAGAGGGAGATCGGTCTAGAGGCCGAAGAGCAAGCATTACAAAGAGCACTGGCTTTCGAAAAAGGTAGGAATTTTAATGCGTATTTTATATCTATAGGAATGTCCAACTTGACCTATTTAGTCACATTTCATGTTTAAATGACACTATTACTTCTTAATTGAATCGAGTGTGTATCTTATAAAGAGTTTTAAATGCTTCTAGTGCTAATGATTCAAAAGTGAGATAGGAACAAGAGACTTCAATCTAATAAATATTGTTTCAACTATTTCTACTACTTTAGTCTTGGGATCAAGTTGCTAGTGTGCACCAAACCTTAGTCGTCTATTTATGCGATGTTGGGAAAACATGAAATATCCCAAGAGGCACTTGTATGTTCTTATGCCAATGCTCCATTTTACAGTTCTGTTTAGTGACCACGAATAATAGTCCCAAAGTGAGGCTGAAGACTATTATTTGTGGTCACTGAACTGTAAAATGGAGTATTGACAAGTGGGATATTCTATGGTGTGCCAAACCATCCTGTACCTATTTTATGCCACGGCATTATTGAAATGCCCAGTGATACCCAGAAGAAACAGTGCATGGAATACCTTCATCAGGGGGGTAGCCAAAAATAATAATAATAAAGCTGGGTATTGCCTTTTAGGATTTAATTTTGCAAAACTTAGCAAAGCGAATGAATATTAGTGTATGAATTCCAAAAAGCCACCATTTTGTTGTCATGAAGGGGGGTGGGGGGGGGGGGGCAGAGCCATGAAGAGCCATGGTCCCCTCGGCCCCCTGCCTATGTCCTTGTTCATGCAACGTCCTGGGGACCAGGGAAAAGGCATGACATTCGAAATTGTGGGGGTTCAAGATGTACCCAGAATAAGATTATAGTGATGCAAGTCCATGGAAAGTTGTATATAATGAAAGAGGTTTGATAATGGGACTCCATTGTATGTACATCCATTGCTGGAAGAACGGTACTTGTCCAGTGCATGAAGGGGTTAAAATAATGTTCAATTGAAGCATTTAATGATTATTTTTCAGAAAGAGACAAAGTTCAGCGTCAGTTCAAATTATACAGAGAAACTAAAGAAAAGGAAATTCAAGAACATCTGCAAAGCCGCCGAGAACTGGAAAAGAAGATTCAACACATGCTCAATGTACATGGTTTGGATGTCGCTAATACTGATGGAGACTTAATGGGAGAAGGAAATAATGTGACCAATGACTGGTGGATGTCGTCATTAGGAAGTGAACAAAGTCTTGAAGAACTAAGTCAGGCTAGTATTCTTCATGGCCCTGATTATAGTCAAGCTATTATGGAGAGAGATGGTGCCTTTACTACCGTTAGCAGAGGTATGGCCTTTATGCTATACAAAAGCATTCTTTACTGTATTATATAGATACTATATTCTATCAGGGCCGTAACCAGGGGTCTTGCATGGTGGGTGCACAAGAAATGGAAATGGAACTATATTAAAACTAACAGATGGAAAAGGGAGGGAATGAATGAGTCAGCTTAGAACCATCTGACTTGTATTTATTTATTTATTTTTGTACATTTATTATATGCACACAAGGCTTTAGGTAATTAAGTGTTTACTAAGAAAATACGAGTGACAAGTGGGATATTCCATGGCTACTGGCTACTGGATTCATAATGTTGAGTAACTATACGGTATTTTGAGATGCATATCTGAAAATGCAAATTTCCTTTCAAAAAACAAGCTCCCCTAAAAATAAGCCAATCCATAAGGTATATAAAAGGGATGTCAATGCTTTTGAAACCCTGGCCCAGGAATTTGTTCTGTGTTTTTAAATTGGTAGGGGAGGATCCTTGTATGATGGAAGTAGTGTATTCCACTGGGTGGTGGGGTGGAGGGGTTAAATGTAAATAGCAATGCCTCTATTGCATGTTTTGGTTTGGAGCAACTCCTGTAAAATAAAGCTTGTTCCATTAAGAAAGGTGTTTGCTTTCATGTTCAAGATGACTGGAATGCAGCATTACTACAACCATCATCAGCAAACATACAGAAACCATTAGAATCTCCAGTGATCAGGATCTACATGTCTGCACCCAAAGAGATGGCAAAAGAAATGAAAACTTTTAAAGAGGTACAGTAATTCCAAAGAATGCAAACAGGCATACAATATACATGTACACACATTAGAGGGCTGCAATAAGAACCATGCAGTCTGCAAACCATAGCCGCTTCTCGATGAATCCTAGGACAATGAAAAAGTAGGTTTGCAAGTAGGTTTGTTTTAAGTTTGCAAGTAGGTTTCTTTAGAGTTTTAAGTTTGCAAGTAGATTTCTTTTGAGTTTTAAGTTTGCAAGTAGATTTCTTTTGAGTTTTAAGTTTGCAAGTAGGTTTTATAGCTTTCCATCCTAAACTCTGTTTTTTTAAACTTGTTTCATACTCCAAATGATGACCAACTTTCTTATGTTGCCCTCTTAGATATATTTGGAAAAGCTTGAGTCAATGTGTGAAGATAATGGATATTTTGTGGTCTTGATACATTTGGAAGAAAGTGGAGAAACACTTAGTGAGGAGGTAAGGCTGTTCTTGAATAAACATTTTCTGGTAGTAATACGAATCATTCAGTTGACCTTGCAGCATGTCGGAAAGCAGCTCAATTTGGAGGACATAACAATAGGTTTCCAATTCTCATGAGAATGAGATTCTTTTGTTTTGTACTCCAATTGAGTTGCTTTGATGTCACATTTAAGGGGACTATTGCAAAATCACTGTCTGGTTCAAAGTGTAGGACATAGAAGGTGAGACCAAAAGGCATTCTGGGAGATTGGGAAATGACATAATTATCCTCTGATTTGAGTTACACAGTTCGATGTAAAACATGTAAAAAGCCTCCATTCTTTCTGTCAGGGCAACAATTTATGAAAATTCCATGTGTTGCTTCACTTGATACATTTAATAAAATATTTATTAAGGTACATGCTCTGATTTGATCTCAGTTTTTAGTGTTCTCTGTTTTTTAACCCGAAAATGATTTTGCAATTGAATGTGTATCTGGAAAACTCAACTCAACTCATCGATAGCATGTGATAAAAGAAATATTTTCACATTTTGCCACTGATTTCTTTAATATGAGCTAGACAACTTTCGTGCAACTTTCTAGACAACTGTCGTGACAGGGAAAATAATCAGGCAATACACTGCCATCAATCAGTGCATGTACTTTTGCCCATTTTACAGTACCTCAGTGTTGTTTCAATTGGCTCGTAGCAATGAAAACAGTAGTAAGTCATAACAGAACCAACTAAAATATTAACTTCAGTTATGTTTTTCTTTTTCTCTTTTTCAGGAATTCAGTGAATTGCTCCACCTTAGGCAGGACCAAATAAAGAAATGCAAAGTTTTTCTTGCTTTTCTTGGGAGAAAGTCTAACAAGCAAGTATTATACATATATTTACAATAATTTGACAGTGTGATGATGCAATTTGTCATCAATAAGAGGACAGACACATAAAAAGCTGATGTCAATTTGTTAAATGTGTTATTCTTAATATATGCTTTGCAGTGGTGTATTGAGCTGGCATTACTGCTAACAGAGTTCATAAATGATGATATCAGTATTTGGAAAAAACAAATTCCTGGTCCAAAACGAAAAGCAATTCATAAGGATTTTTCTTCTTTTTTATTCAAAACAGAATTTGTTATCCAAAGTGTTAATTGTTTCAGGAAGAAGTTACTGTAAATCATTGAGAACATTTTTCACTTTTATTTATGTTTTAATGGACAGTTTTTGTGAGTAGCAGTTGGACCCTGAGATATGTCACAACTCAAGAGCTCCACCCTCTTTGTAAATATTTATAGCATTATGATTTAACTTTCATCTATTATCTATAGATTTACCTATGACGAGTTTCAACATGGACATTTAGCAAATCCAGAGAAGAATTATGCCATATTCTGTTTTAAAAAACCTAAGAAGGACAGGCATGTAAATTTTATAGTAATCTATTAAGATTGAACTTCAAAATCCTGTTATACTTATATGTATTTATACATGTTTAATTTATTTTCTAGCAGTTTTCTTGTTGATGATGAAACTATTAATATGACAGAAGGAATAAAGAAGGAAGTAAGAAAATCAAAGAATCTAAAGGTTGGTCATAAATTATATTCACAAATTTACATTTTTGGGTATATTATTTTATTGTTTGTTCCAAATTTAACTAATATCATTAACTTTTTTATCATATTTGTATACGTAATAGGACTCCATGCTGTCCAATTAAGAAATAATTGGACGAGGAAAATTCCGAATAATTAATCCCATATCAACAAGACCTGTCCAATTAAGAAAATAATTGGACAGTTACCTATATGGGATTAATGAGAAGCTGTATAATTAAAATTATATATTCTACTGCAGTTATTTGACAATTTTGAGAATGCAGAAGAAGGAGCGCAGTTGGCATATGTTGAAATATCTAGATATCTTAAAAAGGTAAATAAATATTTTGAATATTAAGTGATAATAAATAAATGGGAAATAACAGTGGTTCCACAGATTGGCTCTTCTTTCACTGGTTCCAATTAAAAGTTAGATGTTAATTTTATTTTGAAAGGGAGGGGGAAAAACCGAGAAAAACCCTTGAAGCACAGCAGAGAACCAACCAACAACTTTACTCACATAACACAGAGAGTCTGGAAATTGAACCAGTGGTCGCATTGGTGAAAGGTGATCACTCTCACTGCTATGTCACTAATGTGCTTCCATTGGTTGTCTACTCAATTGAATGGTGCACCATATAATGGCAAATGCCAATGCTACATGAATTACAGGTGACAACAGTTTGGTCTATTTCTTAATATATTGACCAATAGTCTCCCACATACAGTATGATTTCAAAACAAAAGAAATTTTTCAAGATTGTAAGCAAGCTCAACTGTTTTTCATTAGAACTTGCCAGTATAGTTTCAATCTTATTATTCTTCCCACTTACATTCAAGATAATGGATGTATCAGATGGTAATAACACTATGAGAGATACTGATAAGTGGGTAGATCCCTATGGATTCCATTCCCTGGATGAACAAGAACAATTAGAAGCTCTCAAGGCAGCAGCTTATTGTCCATATGACATGGACTTTACAAAGGTGATTTGATTTTGAATGTTTTGTGCATGGTAGTTGTAGTAGCAGACACTGATCTGTCAACAATCTCTGACTCGTTGGTCTACTGATAGTTTTTGAATAACATGTGTCGGGTGATCTCAAAGTTCACCATTACCTTTGTAAACAATGCAAACTATATCTTGGAAACAAGGATGGCATAGCGGTAGTGCACTTATCCCTAATAGGGTCCTTATGGTGCAGGATGGCAATGCGGGCGACAACATTAGCGAAATTGATTGTCTATTATTTTACTCAATAAGCACCCCATTTTAGAGTGAAATGGCTTGAGCACTTGACGTAAAATGAAAATCAGCAAAGATAAGCCCTTGGCTTTGCTGTTCCTTTTATTACGTAAAACAAGGACATTTCACATCTTGCTTTCAATATTTCAACTAGAGTCTATTGAATAGCGCAATTAGTCCCTAATCTAGTCCCTATCTGCTATCTGCTATGCATAGTGCTCCACCTACTGTAACAACTTCAACCCCTTAGTGCTTTATAACTCCACACCTGTGTTTGTGTTTGTGCCCCCCCCCCCCCTCCTGCAAAACATGCTAAACTCCAGTTTAATCTGTGAGTTAACTAGCCATGTCCATACTTTGTTGAGACCAAAAGCTGTTTTAGGGTGTGAAAATTTAATTTCCAAACCAAGTCCATGCTATTTTTATGTTTTCACATTGTGCTAAAGAAAAGCTATTTAGTAATACTTTTATTTTTATTCTTCTGTTTCTGTTTCAGTATTTCAGTGAGTTAAATGTTCATTTATCAAGCACAGGACTTCTATTTCCCATGCTAGTCATGGGTACTGAGGGCTCTGGCAAATCTCATCTTCTAGCCAAGTGGTAAGTCAACTGATAATTGCTCATGAAATAGCATATTAGGAGGGTTTTGGCAGGAGTCAGGGGTTAAATATAGCCAAACCTCTTCAGCTAGGGTATGATTTTCCCCCTTTTCACACCACATGCATGTTATTCCCTAGAGTATTATTTTTTCTTTGTTTGATAGTTGTGCATGAGAAGAACCATGAATATGGATGCGACTCAAACAAAGAATATTTTTGATCAAGAGAATGGCACATGGTCAGATATGGGAAACATTACTCCCAAACGAATAAAATGTATACACACTCACCTATGAACAAAATCATCCACACATCTTTTGAAAATACACATATACAAGCAAATTCAGAAAAAAAAAAATTGTTTCGATTAATTCAACTTTCTGGCTAGCAATCATATTTGAATTTGCAAATATTTTTTATGCAGGATCAATCTACAGCAGACCAGTATGCCAGGTCGTCTAATGTTGTATCATTTTGTGGGCACATCATCTTCATCTTCTGCCTGTCCTATTTTGATGCTGAGGAGACTAACTTTGAAGGTATATAGACATAGGGATGCACAGGTATATGGTGTTATTTATTAACTATCAACATCGTCACAGAATTAGACCTTGCACATTGCACATTGCACCTTGCACCTTGCACATGCAAGTAAATGTTAGCTTTAAAGTGCCCCTAATGCTTAATCACAGACCTTATGTAAGTTGAAGATATATTCATAAAATGCAAAAATCCGAAAAATTTTCGAAATTGGATGCATCCCTGATTTTTAAATGAGTTTTGAAAATGCACCTTTTCATATAAGGACCGCTCGTGCGGGAGACTGGTGCGATTTACGTCATTGGGATGATATGTTCCAAAAGTGAAAGACTTGCGCATTCTTCCAAGTTGGATTCACTCTTACAATATGTAAAAGCTCAATATTTCAGCAATTTTTTCTTTCTTAAAACTTTTAAAAACAGCACTCTTGACCCACAAAAAAATTGGTGTATCACCCCGATGAAGTAAGTCTATACAATTTTTCAGGCTCCTCGAATGCAGTACTGAAATTTCAAGAGTGAGTGGACATGAGAATTTTGCCAACTTTTTTGTGCCGAAAAAAATCAGGAATTCGTTTGAAATGAAAAAAAAATTTGAAAAACGTGCTTTTGACAATGTGAGGATTTGTTCTAAATTGGTCTGTAATCAGGCATTAGGGACACTTGTGAAAATCTAACAAACATTGTGGTGTACACTTAACAGGCTTTGTAGAATGGAAGCTATTGAGATATGGCAATGAAGAAGTGAAATGGCTGCAATATCATTATCCATTATTTATACTTGCTTATGCTATACAGTCTACCTATTTGCATTCGATCAGTTAAAAATAATTATTATTATTAGTTTTGAACTGTTAGAAATTTGTTTGATAGGAGCCAAAAATATAAATTGCCACGTTGCCGTCACTCAAAAATTACAGAAATTATGATAACATGCAATTACGCACCACTATCCATTACATAAATTGCAACATGTTTTACCCCTAAAAAAAGCACTAATGGGAACACACAGCAATTTTTCTTAGAAATTTAATGCAACTCTTAAAAGAAAAACCTTTGATGCGCATGTTTTCTTGTTTTGCTGCTCCATTTTTAAAGGTCAGTTGGAATTACATTAACCCAGTTGGATCATAATCCCTTTTCTTTTCCATGTATATAAGTGATGGAAAAAAAATTTAGCTGATGTTTGAAAAGTTGGATCATTTGCACAAGCCCTTTTTATTTCCATGTATATAAGTGATGAAACAGAAAGAAAAATTAGCTAAAGTTTGAAAAACAAAGGGTTGCTATACACACTGGACTTACTGGACACACCATTAATTTGTTTTATTATCTGCATTTTATTATCTTTTCCATCTGCAGTTGATGCGCTACATGACAGCTTCTAATAATCTACCAAGTGACCCTGTCAATTTGGAAGAGGAATTTCTTCGTTGTTTGGAGAAAGTTTCTTCAAAAGTGCAAGGAGGAGTAACAATTGTGATTGACTCTGCCGACAGATTACAGGTAACAAATATGCATTTTATCTCTAATAGCAGTAGGACATTTGCATCATAACTACAACTACCAGAATCCATTGCACACCTTTTGTTCAGTTTACAAGCACCACTTGTCTTACTGATCTCATGAGACAGTTCAAATTTGAATAATAAAGGAAATGTTTGAAGCATTTTGGAAGTGATAGTCAAATGGTGCCATCACGCAAATSTACTATTAGTGGTTACTGATTGGGAATGACAAAAGGCAACTTAAGGTACACAACGTCTTGTACAGTGACCATGGTCCCATGTCCAGGCATTTTGGTTGGATAAGCAATACTATCTTGTGAGCTGTGACCGATTCAAAGGATGTCATTAATTTCATGCTGTGACAGTAATGTTTACAGTGTCATTTTACAGTGATGAAAAATTATGTATAGGTTTTGTACGACTCGAAACCCAAGGCAGCACAAGCAAAATCTGACGTAAAGAAACCTTGCATGAATAGTGATCCTGAAAGCTTTAATCATTTCAACTAATGTCTAATCAATTTTCTGTGTGAACATGTTCTTTCACTGTCAATCTAGTTAACCACTGCAGAATTTTTGCTTTCGATTTGCTGCAAATATGTCATAATATTTCAATTCTACGATGGTTTTGATTTGAAGAAATGTGTGTTTTTCACATTCAGGACTTGAACAGTCATATGCAGTGGTTGCTAGACCCTCTGCCTGTTGGCACTCGAGTTATCCTGTCCGTCAACAGTAACACCTGCCCACAGGCTTGGAAGTAAGTATGCATCTATTTCAAAAACATTTCTGCGTGATCTTCTTGATAGTGACATTTCGTGTATATTTATTATATCTCTGCTAAAATGTTAAATTATATGTATCTTTCTGTTTCAGGCTTTGGCCAACATTAAACATCCAATCGATAATATTCACTGAATCTAAAAAAGCTGATATAATTGCTGCTTTCTGCAAGAAATCAGTTCAGGATCTGGTAAATTTCTTATATTTTTTCTGTTCTGTCTCTGTCTTGTTGCTGTTGTTGTGGCTGTGGCTGTTGCTGTTGTCTTCCTTGTTGTCCTTACCACTCTCTCCCTCTACCGTTACCTTTTTTGCAATGTCGCCTCCATTTGCTTTTTGCTCTTGTTATCAGCCATTGTGGTCGTGATTCACTGTGGTAGTGATTTTAAAATTTGCACAAAAGGCAATAAAAAGTCATGGCATTTGCATTCCAGCAATGAAAATTAATGGCATTTGCATTCCAGGCAATGAAAAGTCATAGCATTTGCATTCCAGGCAATAGGCAGTTGCTTTCCAGGCAATAGGCAGTTGCTTTCCAGGCAATGGAAAGTCATGGCATTTGCAATACAGGCAATGGAAAGTCATGGCATTTGCAATACAGGCAATGGAAAGTCATGGCATTTGCATTCCAGGCAATGGAAAGTCATGGCATTTGCATTCCAGGCAATGGAAAGTC